CACAGTGTTGCATTGCAATTAGTTCCTATTTCACATGACTTTCAGGGCTCGACAGAAATGATTTACCAAATTTTTCTCTGGCCACACCAAAAATAAACAAATAACTAATTATTTAATAGCCACAAGTTTTAATTAATTAAAAAACAAGCAAAATATAGCAATATATTTGCACTTTTTATTTAACAAATCATTTCTTTAAAAAAAAAAACATTTCTTTAAAAAAAAGACATTTTAAAAAGAATTATTGTCATGTATCTAAAACTATGCACAGTAGTCTGTCCAAGCTAAAGGTCCCAGATCACCAGCTAACTAAGCAAAAATGGAAGTTAATCTCCTATTAAAGCAATGGTATTGTAAATGATAATAATTAAACCATAAATAAAAAATAACTGTATGTAAAAGAAATCAAAGTGAAAACACAATGTGCGATGATGACCACATTCACACAGTTAACTTTAGGCCCATAATCGGTTCAAAGAATGGTTAAAGTGAAAGCTGCCACCGCTGCTGCTTGCAATAAATCTCAGACTTTTGAAAGCAGCAGTCATGTGAGTGCATGAGCATCCCTTTTTGTTCAGTCTATGTTAAAAAGAAGTGATCGCACAAGTGGCGTTTGCAGGCAATGTTGCTTCACACAAGGAAATGGGAGCATGCAAGATTTATAAACACTTGCGCGCATCACATCAGCTGTGCACACGATATTGAAGCCCTCGTCAATGCGTGAAGAAAGTCTGCGTCTCATTGTGCGTGATCATTTGAATTCACATGCTTTCTTTTGCTTGCACGAACAGTTATATGTATATATGGTCAAAGTTAGAATTATTAGCCCCCATGAATTATTAGCCCCCTGTTTATTTCTTTCTCCGAATTTCTGTTTAGTGGAAAGAAGATTTTTTTTCAACACATTTCTAAGCATACTAGTTTTAATAACTCATTTCTAATAACTGATTTATTTTATTTTTGTCATGATGACACTTCTATACAGCTTAAAGTGACATTAGAAGGCTTAACTAGGTTAATTAGGTTAACTAGGCATGTTAAGGTAATTAGGCAAGGTATTATATAACAATAGTTTGTTCTTTACACTATCGAAAAAAATTATAGCTTAAAGGGGCTAATAATTCTGTCCCTAAAACGGTGTTAAAAAATTTTAAAACTGCTTTTATTCTAGCCAAAATAAACCAAATAAGACTTTCTCCAGAAGAACAAAAGTTATCAGACATACTGTGAAAAATTCCTTGCTCTGTTAAATATCATTTGGCAAATATCTAAAAAAAACAAAAAACAAAGGAGGGCTAATAATTCTGACTTGATTTTGAATAGATATAAAAACAATTGTTCATACATTTATTTTTATTTTTTTATAATTATTTTTTCGGGGTTTTCACCTTTATTTTTGATAGGACAATATAGATAATTGACAGGAAAGCATGGGGCGCAGAGAGAGGGGAAGGATTGGCATACTGTAGGACCGCGAGGCGGAATCTAACCCGGGTCGCCGTGAGCACCGGAGTGCATGTGTCGACGCACTAACCACTACACCACTAGCGCCGACGATTGTTCATACATTTTTGGAAATTACCACCACAAAATCTGAAGAAAAAAAAAATTAACAAAAAATAGTTAAAAAACAAGGGGGGTCTGGCTACTGCAGAAGAAAAGTCCTGTTTAATAAATTAACAGCAAATTAACATTTTACAGTGAACTATTGCTTTTAAAGTTTCTATGCACCACAGAAAAACAAACTTTACAGTGCCTCAGAAAAAAACATGCTTCCAAAAAAAAAAAAAAAAAAAAAATAAACCAAAATAAACTATTCTATTTTTTTAATATCAAAATAACTACATGAATCACAGCAGCTCAGATAAATACAGTTGTTGTCCCAGTTTTGGGAACATGCAGAGAAAAACAGCACTCAGAAAACAGAAAATCAAAACAGAGGAACATGGAGATCATTTATATTAGCAAACGTTTTCAGGTGACTTTGTTCCCAGTCACATGCAGCTGTTTTAAATGGAGCACAGTTTATGTCTCCATGGAAACAAAAGAGGTTTTAAGCCTCTTGATCGCCGGTGGCTCAATTTTTGAGGTCTTAATAGTGTGTGTGTGTGTGTGTGTGTGTGTGTGTGTGTGTGTGTGTGTGTGTGTGTGTATGTGTGTGTGTGTCAAGGCAATAATATCGCCCCTGTACAGTCAGTCTTCTGTGTATTAAAAGTCTTGTTAATTAAATGGGATAAAAATATTGACAATCTTGAATACTCAAGCTCCCAAACATACAAAGGAAAACAAACATTCAATTAAAACGACCATCTTGAATTAAGTATAATAATTTTCTAGTGGTGTTTGCATGAATAGAATAAAAAAGGCTGTGGAATTAATTTGTTAGTAAGTTATTACAGCCTGAAAAACTCAAATCCTTCACTTACAACTATTTTTCTTTTCCTTTTATTAAATTAAATGAGTAGGATGAACTAATTGGAACACATGTATGACTGTATGGGTGAATCAGAAAGAGCCAGGCCACGATGGTAATTTGAACAAGCAGTTGTGCTAGGTCACAAAATAACAACCAATTGGAGCATAAAAGAGAGAATTAGTGCCCGCCCACTAGTTTAGCAGCATGTGGTTCATTCTGTCTTTAAAAGCTTGTTGGAAAATGAATGTTTATTTCATTAAACCTGTTTAATATTTAACCCTTTTACGCGCAAGTTTTAAATACTCCAGCTGACCCTGCTGCGTGAGTTTTTTTGTGACCGTTACTTCGAAGTTTATCACATGACCCATCAGCCCTAATGATCTATGTATATATCCTCTTTTGTTTCTTTTTGCCCTTTCCTGTAGATCAGGGGTGACCAACCCGGTTTCTGGAGAGCCACCTTCCTGCAGATTTCAGTTGCAACCCATTTCAAACACACCTGCCTGTAATTATCACGTGGTGTTCAGGTCCTACTTAAGTGGTTCAGGTGTGTTTGATATGGGTAGCAACTGAAATCTGCAAGAAGGTGGCTCTCCAGGAACAGGGTTGGCCACCCCTGCTGTAGATATTGACAAATATTCTTATTATATTGTGAAATGTCCAATACTACGATTCTTAAATAAATGATAGAACATATGTTTTGTTATTTAAAGAAATAATAATGATCATAATGATCATTATTAATGATCATATTATATGTTTTATGATGGGTACTGGACGCTGCTATTGTTGCTTGAAGGGATACAGCTTCGATCGGAAGTTAACTAGAAGTATTTATATTATTTATTAAATTACGCATTAATTATTAGTTTCTACCGCTACCATACCTGCCAACACTCCTGTTTTTTCCAGGAGTCTACCATATTTCAGACCCATCTCCGCCACCCTGCTCTTTTGTTACGCCCCGGTCCTCAGCTTTTTGGTACAGTCTGTAATACCTCCAGGTCGTCAACTTTGGTATACAATAGTATCCGATCGCAGCGGCCACCCGAAACCAGTCCCATAGTACAGTTACTAACAACACAGTATAGTTAATAACCCGGTGACCTTAAAATGGGTTAAAAAAAATTTTAAACTGCTTTTATTCTAGCTGAAATAAAACAAATAAGACTTTCTCCAGAAGAAAAAATATTATAAGAAATACTGTCAACATTTTCTTTGCTGTGTTAAACATCATTTGGGAAATATTTAAGAAAGAACAAAAATTCACAGGAGGGTTGATAACTTACTTGAACTGTATATGCAGTAGAATATTTGGTACTATTTGTTCATTTCATAAAAGAAAAGTCTTTGATGTTTCCATCTAAAACTCAACAATGAATATAAAAAAACAGATCCTCTCAGACACAACAGGGACTGTGATGGCAAGCCCGTTTTCTTATTTTAATGAATAAATTCACACATCATTTTGAACGCCAGCTTTCATTTGATTGATCTCTCAATGGAAGTGACATAAGCAGAAAAAAATTCAAATCGACTGCACACCTCAATAAACTCTAATCGCTATAATCACACGTTTCCCTCTCTCCAGTTCCCCTTCTAAACCCGCGGCACAATTTAATGAATCCTCTGGGACTGTGTGTTCAGAAGCACTCAGATTCATTCAAATGCTGATTGTTACGGCAAACAAAATGGAGCGAAGAGCAAATGATGCCAATAGCTCAAGCAGTTTTTCCATTTCCGCTTCAAAATAAATTCTATTTATCAACATCATCATCTGTGGCCATATGTAAACCTAATGCAGCCCTTTCTTCAGTGAAGCGAAGTAAAAATACCACATGATATTCTTGTCTTTAACATGTCAAACAGTCCAATTTGACCTTTAATCTACATGCAACTTAAGCCTCAGGTAACCCCAGAAAGTATTTGTGAAGTTTCGGCTCAAAATACATCATGGATTGTTTATTACACCATGCAGTATTTTTGTGCCTCTTTAAATGCAAATGAGCTCCTGCTCCCTACCCCTTTTCAGAAGAGGGCGGAGTCTTTACAGCTTGAGCTTCAATTACTTTGATGCAATAAACTGCAAAATAGGCCTGTCAGTGCTCAACAACAACAAATAACAAAACTAAAAGTGCAAAAACCACATATAGTTTGAACAATGTCAACATTTGGAGGGAACAGATTCATGAAAGTTAGTAAAAGATGAAGGAGAGTTAATGAGGTTTTGATGTTACCTGTTTATATTCAGATTCTCTTCCACCCAACACTTGCAGCACATAGCTGACCCGGTCTCCTCTCATTGGTGGGATACTCTCCCATGTGACCTCACAAGTGTTTCCCTCCAGCTGGACAACTCTTGGAGCTAAGAGGGCAAAAATGAGTAAGTATTTAAAACAAAAATAAGTAAAATCTTAAAATATTGAATTATAATTATTAAATTGAAAAAACAACACACACACAAATACCAATACTAATGAATTAGGCTGCTCGCCTTCATGTCATTCAGTTTTCACCCTGACCTGACACGGAGACCAGATCTCTGGACTATTGCTATCTGTTAATTATTTATCTATTAATTTCTCAATTGTCTTTTTCACATTATAAAATATCTCAATTTGTGTTCTTAAGGTTGGAATGACGGGAGTGTTAGTAATTAATGACAGAAAGAATTTTCAGTTTTGCGTGAACTAATCCTTTATGAAAACTGAGAGGGCACAAATTCTTTCTGAGGGGGCAGTGCCCCCTTTTGTCTGCCCATAGCGTCAGGCCTGCTCCAATTCATCACATCACTTTAAACCACTAAAGATCTAATTCCTTTTTCTTAGTTGTAATTAAGTAACAGAAACTTTGAGTTAATAATAAGCATTTCTTTCAAGTTTATTATTATTATTTAAAAACAGAAAATACAGTATGAACAATGTACAATACATGGACCTTCTTACAGTACAAGTAATAACATTCATTTGTTAACAATAAATAAATGAATAAATAAATAAATAAATAAATCTTTATCAGACTCTTGGTTGTGCGAAAATATCCCCAAACTGTTTTTGTATCCACACATACAATTAATGTCACATGGTTATCCCCCTTTTTTTGTTGGACTTATATGGTTGTTTGTTACACACACTCAATTAAAAATAGATTTACTCAATAAAACAAATAATACAGGATCAGTGGTTTTTTGTTTTGCTTTGCAGTTTATGTTTTATGTCTCTTGGATTTATTCGATCAGGCCCCATTTTTTGCGTGTGAAATAACTAGAATTGTAATTTATTTTTCTACTTTAACATATTTTAATTTGTCATTTATTTCTGACACAAAACAAAATGAAATTACAGTTTAGCATCATTACTCCAGTCTTCATCATTCTATTATATCTATTTGCTTCTGAAAATTAATTGTTGATGTTTTCGTGAAATCTGTGATTCATTTTCAGCATTCTTTTATGAGTGAAGCTCAAAATAACAACATAAATATTAAATACACTACCGGTCAAAAGTTTGGGGTCAGTAGGTCTTTGAATTGTTTTGAAATAAGCTTCTACTGCTCACCAAGGGTGCATTTATTTAATCAAAAATACAATACAAATTGTACAATTATGAAATGTTATTGCACTATTAAACAACTGTTCAAAAGTAGCTTATAATTGAATTTAATCAGTCATTCCGGTGATTTTTAAAGATGAGTTTTCAGCTTCATTACTTGTCTTTAGAGTCACATAATCTTTCAGAAATCACTTTAATATTGAATTATTATTGTTATTATTATTATTAATAATAATAATGGTAATAGTAATAAAAGCAATAATGGCTGGACTAATAATTTCATTTGAAACTACATACAATAAGTAATAAATAAATATTCAATAAATAAGTATTAAACAATTTAACATTTTTTTTTACATTTAATAAATGCCGCCTTGATGAACAGAATGAATTTATTTAAATTATTAAATAAAATTCATTAAAAAAACTGAACCCAAACTTTTAACCAGTAGTGTATATACTTGCTGTCATTTGTAAATAATATAATGCATATTTGCAAAATAAAAATGAACACAAAATATACAGTTTGCGGTAATACTGAAAAATATTACACCATTTGGCAGCCCTTCCTGTCACATTTAAAAAAAATAACAATGAAGAAATAAAAAAAGAATTTGACCAAATGAAGAAAGAAAAAAAAAACTATTTAAAATAAAAAAAAAATGATCTTGAACAGCTGGAAATAAAGTAAGTAAGTAATGTGTATATAAATATGGTACCTTTCAGCGTTGGTGGCAGAGATTTGGTTGTGCTGAAGGTGTAGGTCTCAGAAAAAGGCCCTTCGCCAGCTTCGCTCACCGCCTGGATCCGGAAACGGTACCTGCTGGATTCATTCAGTCTCTGCAACTTAAAAGTGTGGCTCGGACCTCGATAAACCACCACAAACCTAACAAAACATTACAAACATACACAAAAAAAAAAAATTAGGTACAGCTTTTTAACGATATTCTTTATTATCTGATAGCGTAATAATTTTTGTACAGTGTTAAGTGCAAAAACGTGATGCTTGAGATCATATAAGTGAACTCGCATCACATTAATAGATAGTCTGAATGCAAAAAAATTTAAGAGCATTATATAAAATAACATATAACTTTGTCATTTATTAAAACTCTCAAGTGCAAATAACGTAAATCCATTGCTTGAGATCCTATATCTGAACTCTGTCACTTTCTGATGGCTTTAATTAATATCCTGAATGAAGAAAAGACAGGCAGGTAGAAGCCGGCCTTCATTAGATCCATTCGCCATTACTGCTTATACGGTTACAAATTTTCAGAAGTAGACCCGAGGCTGAAAGCTCAAACAGACGTCTTGATTTGCTTCTAAATGAGCCATCGGTGGGTCAGTGACGAGCGACTCTGAGAAAGCATTAAGGCAGGTGGTCTTGATAACCCCGAGTCTTCTAATCTAATTCCGCACAGCGCTTTGAGAGATCAAGTCTTCTCATTAGCAAACCCCACCTTAATGGACCCGCAAACACAAAATGTGCTGTTCTGATGAACTGCTTACATCAGAGAGAAGAAACTGCTCTATGGGTGCATGAAGGACAAATTAAAGTGATCAAGTGCAAACATACAACCGCACACAGAGGCTTTCCTGTGAATATAATTAATATAAGCAGAAAGAACGTTTACATAATCTGACCAAGTTGTTGATGTTTAATACGAGACTATTGCTCTTAATTATGAGTTATAAGTGTTAACAAAAAATAAATATTCACTGCCTGACAAAAGTCTTGTGGCTGATCCAAGTTTTAAGAACAACAAATAATAACTTGACTTCTAGTTGATCATTTGGTATCAGAAGTGGCTTATATGAAAGGCAAAGGCCTTGAGATTACACTTATTTTACCACAATAAAATATGATCATGCCTTGATTTTGAATTATTAAATTAGGACAGAAAGGTCTGACTTTGCTTAGACAAAAGTCTTGTCACTTGTCACAGAAATAATATGCAGTATAGAATATAAAGTCATGGCACAGTTGAAAAAGATTTAATATTGTGTATGAACTTGGAGGACTGCATCCATACATCTCTACAATGACTTAAATAACTTATTAATACAGTCATCTAGAAGGGGAAAGGAAGCGTTCTAACAGGACTCCCAGAGTTCATCAAGATTCTTTGGATTCACCTTTAATGTCTGGGGATGCAGTTCAACAGATGATTCATCAAAAAAATCTATCTTCTGCCACTTTTCCGAATGATCAACTAGAATTCAAGTTATTATTTGTTGCTCTTGCAACTGAGATTGACGACAAGACTTCTGTCAGGTAGTATACATACAGTATAACATACTTTAATAATAAATTTTATGTATGTATAACATACATAAATTTGAATTCTTTAATCTTTTTTTCTGTTTAACACAGATTTTATCAACACATTTCCAAACATAATAGTTTTAATAACTCATTTCTAATAAATGATTTTATTTATTTTTGCCATGATGACAGCACATAATATATTTTACTAGATATTTTTAAAGATACTAGTATTCAGCTTGAAGTGACTTTTAAATGCTTGAATGTTTACAACTGAAAAAAGATATTGCTAAAGGGGGCTAATAATATAGACCTTATATCAAGCTGCTTTCATTCTAGCCGAAATAAAAAAAAAAATAAGACTTTCTCCAGAAAAAAAAAAACATAGGAAATTCCTTATAATGCCTTGAAAGAAATACCATGAAATGTCCTTAATCTGTTAAATATCACTTGAGAAATAATTGAAATGAATAAATATTACACAGGAGTGCTAATAATTTTGCTCTTAACTATATATTAACATGAAAATGTATGAAAAAAATTGGCCAAAACATAACAATTTTGATTAATTTTTGTAATACAGTAAAATAATTTTTATTTATAAAAAACATTTTTAATTAGAAAAAAACATAAAATATAAAAAATAAATAAATAAATAAATAAACTATTAACACACTTAGTTCTAAGTTCTGAATATTAAAACAGATTGTGTACTTTACTTAGCAGGCACCCCCCAAAAAATCTTAAAATACATCTAAATTAGCCTAACTATCAAGACATGACTAATTGAGCCATCAATACATCCCTCTTACTAGTCAAGTATGGAACTACACAGATTTCACACTGCCAGTCACATTCCCTTAGTGCAAACCTCTGATTGCGATCCTCCATCTGCAGGATGTAGTTGGTGTCGTCTGTAAATTGACTCCGGCTGCTGAAAGCCCAGCGCAGTTTTAGACTCTGAGGTCCGACAGCTGCACACTCCAGCCGCGGGGGAGATGGTGGCAGGGGTCTGGTCCTCACTCTAAGGGTCTCACTTAAGGGTCCGGCGCCCATTTCATTTTCTGCCCAAATCTTTAGACTGAGAAAAGAAAAAACAACGAGAAATCATGTTACAAAAGAAGTGCTGTCAAAATCTGATCATGCTATAGAATGAACATGCTTTAATACAAATGCACTACATCATATTGAGGTTAAATATGGCTTTTATTTTAATGAGTTTTCTCTTTGTACAAAGTTAAAAACTGATGCTAATGATAATAATGTTGACATTTGTTGTTTATACATTTATTTGAATAATGATTGTAAAACTGCATTATTAAATGCTAAGTGGGATTAAACAATTGAAATTAAGATTTGGTCTTTTTTATTAATGGCAGCAGTAGTTTTACTCAGCTTTTACTTGTTTGAGACATATTTGAGTTTTGTTCTTCTGTTAAACACAAAAGAAGATATTCTGAAGAATGTTGAAAACCATTGACTTCCATAATATTCTTTTTTATATATATATATATGAAGGCCGATAATAATATGTTTTCAGCTTTCTTTAAAATATCTTCATCTACTAGAAGCTCAAAGTTTTTGAACCACTTAAAGGTGAGTAAACAAGAGTATATTATTAATTTTGGGTGAGCTTTCCCTTTAAAATAGTCTTAAAATACTGTAAATTCTATATTGGAGGTCTCCTGATTTATATCAATCCATGGTCATGAATTACAGTACTTTATTTTCTCATAATAACCCCTGCAGCATCAGCTTTATTCACTCAGCAGTTAATTCAAAGATCCAGCCTCTTTAAACCCCAACTTTCTCAGAGCATACTCTTTTCTGATTATGATTTGACAAAAACTTACTGTACATGCTGGAAACCAAACACTCATTACTATCTGAACCAGCATATTTTTATTCAAGACAAAGACATATTGCACACAAACTGTAGGCATTTTTACATGGCAGATACAGTACACTAGTAAGTGCACTCATACTACATTATTCACTGAGCATTAAAAACACTTTTCTCTCATTGAAAACAAACTAAACACTCGCAAGCACCGAGTAAGATTAAAGTTGTCCGGTTTTGTTTAGTGTCCTCCTTTAAAAAGCAGACATCATCACTAGGGAGAATAATAATTTGCTGCTCATTGGCAATCCTGCTTATGTGGCACCCTAAGTGGCCGCTTACTTCATCTATGCTTAGAAATGGTACTGTGCACACCCTATCAGAAAAGAGAGAGACAAAAATGATGAACTATTGCCAAGTATTATAAAAAATATATAATAATGAAACGTCATGATAATTATTTTGTCTTTGTACACTTTTGTTGTTGCTAAAAGCAATTATTACCCAAGAGTCACTAATTTAAAAGTAAAAGTAATTATAAAGTGCACATACATTAATTTAGGCATTTAAAAGCGTCCTGCCCCTTGGCGATACCTGCAGGTGTCTTCAGTTTTCTCTGACCTTTTCACTCTGACTGACAGCAGTGGAGAAACTGATCTACTTTGACTGAAGAGCTGGCCACGCATTTGAATGAGCGATTCTGCAAACTTATCTACCTGGAATCCAATTATAGTAAGAGTACACAGGACTGAAAACATTACTAGATTGGTTTGGCCGAAGAGCACGGATAAGAGGGAAAGTTATTGCAATCCGTCTGATGTACACTAAATTATTATTCCACAAATAGACAATCTGTCATTTACTCGCTCACACAGTATTCTGAACCTGACTTTCTGTATAAGTGGAACAAACATCCTCTGTATTTACTTAGATTTGGGTTAGTTAACTACAACTAAATCCCTACATTGAAATCAAATATATTATTTTACAAAAATATGTTGCAATTTAACAAAAATATATAAATTTAAACTTAAATGTATATACTGTATATATATATATATATATATATGGATGGATGGATGGATGGATGGATGGATGGATGGATGGATGGATGGATGGATAGATGGATAGATGGATAGATGGATAGATGGATAGATAGATAGATAGATAGATAGATAGATAGATAGATAGATAGATAGATAGATAGATAGATAGATAGATAGTGCAGTAGGTGATTGTCTTCAGAAACATTTTTTGTTGTAACGGTTGAAAGTCTCTTTACAGTCCAATAGTAATGATTAAAGTAAATGATCTACAGTAAATGTGTTTATTTTTATCTTTATATTCTGGGTAAGGCATAAAACTACAAAAATGTTCATCCAATTAAGTATTGTCGGGCCGACATCTCCCATAATTCCAATAAGTAGCTGAAACTGTCAGCAAATGTAGATTTGGACTTCTGCACATCTCTTTGGGCATAATGGGTGGACATAGAGTATTTTTTTAATCTAGATTAATCTAGATTATTCTCTGAATTAATCTAGATTAATCTAGATTAAAATGGCTCGTTTGAATTCTGCCGAAGGCTTTCAGAGTAGGAGTCAGATCGTCTTGACCATGTCTACTTGCCTAAATGCATTAAACTGCTGCCATGTGATTGGCTGATTAGAAATTTAAACTTGCAGTTGATCAGGCGTACCTAATGAAGTGAGTGTACATACAAATAAATATAATACATATAAAATATTGTACATAACACAAACACACACTCAACTTTGTGTTTCTCAGACAAAAAGAAGGTTTTACAGGTATGGAACAACAGGACTAGGAGGTAATGACAATTTTCAACCCTGTAAAACTTGTTTTGCACTGTATTTTTCTTGTATGATTCATTTTGAGAACTAATGGAAGCTGAAAATATGAAATGGCCAAGAACACTCTTTATGACCCCAACAGAATTACTATAAAAGCTTATTCACAAAACCTGAAGCTGTTTTCTAATGAAAAGTCTTCCAATGGTAAAAGCTTATGTCGTAAAGCACTTAACAGAAAAAAATTAATAAACAGCAAAAAACAAACAAATAAACAAACTAAAAAAATATTTTTAAGGCAACAGTTCTCTAAAACATGCTTTTTTGAAAAAAAAAAAAAAAGCATGTAAGGGGCAATTTGAGCAAAACATTTCCCATATTAAAGTTTGTTAGTAAGTGTTGCATGATGCATCATAAATAAACAATTTTAAGACAAAAATATTAGGGCAATTTGTGCCTAAAAAGTATTAGTAAACATGATCTCAACATTCAAATCACCTTGACTCCAATTGGTATATAAAAAAATAGTTCAAAAAAAGGTTGAGCATAATTTGTTTCCTGAGACACCTTACTTGGATTTTTGTTTTATTTAATACCTTAAAATTCACAATTTAAGTATCCAAACACATTCAGGCCACACTAGGTCATTAGGGGGAGCTGAAACATGTTATTTTTTAAGAAGGCTTCTGAAATCTGCAGCTCCATTAAACACATTATGTGCCCCTGATAATTATTATAAGTGCATTTGTATTTGGCATATTAATTGGGGATGTGTTTCGTGGTCCATTACCCCAGTGGAAAGTTGCATTTGTGATCATTTAATGTCTTTCATTACAAACTAAAGCCTTTTTTAACAGACTCGCTTGCCAGAAACCCATTAGCCTGTAGAGAATGTGAGAGAGTCATTTCCTTATGCAATCCTGTTAGGAAGCTAGTCCTTTTAAAATATACCTCTATTTACATACAAATAGCTGAATTTAAAAAAGCGCCATATGATTAACAATGTAGATTGTTTAGACATATACACCACTCATTACTATTTGAAAGATTACTTTACTGTTATCACAATTTATTTATTTAGTCAGTTAGTTAGTCAGTTAGTTAGTTAGTTAATGCAGCCATTTGAGCATGGAAAACTAAACCAAAAATCTAAATAAGATCATGTTTGTCAACACTTTAATGGGCCACATACACTTATTGAAACTTAATTCTTCATCTTAGTAAAGCAATCAGTTTATTAATCACTGTAATAAAATATACTTATTAATAATTTAAACTACTGCTGAATGCAACAATAAACATGTGACTTTTACAGAACGTTTTCCTGTCAAAATTGCAATTTTCTGTCATTAACTTCTGACCATTATTATTGGTCATCCTTAATTTTTTTTTTTTCGGAGAAATCTTTTTCTTATTTTGCAAAACTTCTTGTTATACATTCAATTGCATTCATATTCTGGAGCAAAAACAGAAATAAAAGAAGATTAAAAACCAAAGGGCCCTATCATACACCTGGGGCAATAAGGCACAAGACGTGTTTGCCCCGACGTGTTGCTATTTTCAAACCAACAAAACCCTAATTTTCCCGTTTTCTACCACATTGTTTAAATAGCAAATCCATTTGTGCCATTTTGTTCACTCATGGGTGTTTCAGTCTAGATATAAGGTGTGTTAAGGCGCATTGTTGGTGCGTTGCTATTTTGAGGAACTAAAACAGACTGTGCAATAGACCAGGTCAAAGGATATAACTTAGTTTTTTGACCACACTTCATTTTTATTGTTCATTTATTTGTTTGCTGGAAATTAGAACTGAATTCAATATATAATTCAATAATAAATAGTTTTAAAACTTAACAAACGCATAACAAAGCGCTTAACAAACAAAATTAATTATGTAGGCTAATAGAACACCATTTCCTTATCCACTAAGAAAAAGAGAAAGTGAAAGTAAAGGCGATTGGAGGAGGCTCATTCTTTATCCTCTCTCTGAAGATGGTCTGTTTAACTGTTTTCTCTCTAGTGAAGCATTCAGTTTTTCCATTTACAAAGTCCGCCATGTAAATAGAAAATGCACTATGGCGCGACACAACCGACTCTTAAAGGGAATGGGAGATAAGAGTCTGATTGGTTTATGCTGAAAACACAACCATTACTTCATTAAGAGAATAAGCATAACACTGTTAGACCATGCGCTGCGGCACAGAGCGTATTTTATGTCCTTAAAATAACAAAAGTGGATTCTGACACACCCTTAAATCTTTTTGCGCCTTGCGCTTTAGACTTTGCGCCTAGATCGTTAAAATAGAGCCCAAAGACATGGTCAAGGAGCATCCTAAGAAAGTTTCAGATCTCTGATACAAATCAAAAGTCAGTTTTTTCAGTGGTAAAGAGTTGCCTTGCTCAACTACATATTACCTGAGGGTACCTCAGCAGTTGACAACAATAGTATACATTCTTTGGCCAAGTATGTACAATATAAAAATTCTTTATCATAATCAAGACAAATTACCACCGTATAATTCAGGAGGTATATCATTGAGAACATGACAATTAATCTCTTTAAATAAATAATTTTGTGTTTTTCTTTCTAGTACATTTCAATTCTGCCATATTCCCAAAATACATGCATCACTGTGCCAATGTCAACCCCACACTTAAAAAAAACAGCTAAGAACATTTTTATACTTTTTTTAATTTTAACTTTTACTAGATTTTTGTTTCGTTTCTAATTCAAATGTAAAAAAAAAAAACTTAAATCATAAATCATTTTCTAGATGAGCAGTTTTGAAGTGATGAAGTTTTTCCTTAAAACAAGCAAAATAATCTCATGCCAAAAAAAAAAAACGATTATTTTGCTTGTTTTAGCAAAAAACTCACTTATTTTTTACATATTATTTCTGAAAACAAGACAATATTTTTTTGCTTGTCTAGATAATGGCTCTGGTTTTTATTTTTAGATATTTGGACAAATAAGACAAAGCTCTTAAGTAAGAAAAGCATTTTTTTGTTATGCACATTCTAGATTTTATTCTTTAGACTTTACTTGTATCATATTCCATACATTTTCAAGTGTTATATATCTCATAATACTAAGTCATTTAATTTATGTTTAACCCTTTCAAAAATACCATAGTTTTACCACTTGATCCATCACTGTACCATCTAACCAAAAAAACAAGCATCAAATATACCCTGCTACCAATAAAGCAACACACAAAGTCCAACATCTACCCAGAATACAGCATTTAGCTGATTACATCTTGAGCCAGATGTAAGAGGGGTCCATTTGTAGAGCTAATAACACCGACACGCTCTATCAGGGATTTACCAGTACTCGTCCCTATATTATTGGAACCAAAATAATGAGGAAATAAGGTCTCTGGTCAGCACTAATGCAGTATCAGTGACCTTCAGCAGCAAAGAGCTGCTGATGGAGAGGATGAAGGTAAAAAAGGATCTGAAGTGTTGAACAGCATGTGCGCTCACCTGTACTCGCTGTCCGGCAGCAGGTCTCTGATAATGTGCTGGTTTGTGTTTTCAGTGGAAATGATTCGGTCCCCGATCTGGATGTTGTAGGAGATGATTTGGGCACCATTACAGTTCGGCTCGTCCCAGGTGAGGGCCAGACAGGTGGAGAGGGAGAAGGATTCACTTTCTGCTGGGTTCAGAGGGAGGTTGAGTTGGTGAAATCCGGATATGAGATCAGGGGCTGCGGCAGGGGTTCGACATGTCACCAGATCACTGTAGGGGCCCGCCCCAGCCTGGTTAACTGCCTGTAAACCAGATAAAGAGAGACAGAGAGAGAGGAAAAACAACAATATATTAATTTAAATTCAGACATTTGAGAATCTGTTGTTGAATTTAACAAATATTTAGATCATAAGTTACATTAGTAATATAGAATATGTTCTATTGTTCAATTCAATTGCTACAAATGACAGCTAAAAGTGTTCCTTGTTTAATAGATGTAAATATCTGCAAGTGTTAATAGTAAATAAATAAAATAAAAAAAACAACAATTAAAAAAATTAAACAATAGTTAAAGGTTTTGGTTGTTTAATAGTTGATAGACGTAAAAATCTACATGTGTTAATTGTAAAAAAAATATATTAAAAAACCAACAATTAAATATATGAAGCGATAGTTAAAAGTGTTGCTTGTTTAATAGTTGATAGATGTAAAGATCTACAAGTGTTAATAGTAAATAAATATAATAAAAAACAACAATTAAATAAATGAAACAATAGCTAAAGTTTTAACTTGTTTAATAGTGGATAGATGTAAAGATCTACAAGTGTTAATAGTAAATAAATATATATAAAAAAAACAATTAAATAAATGAAACAATAGTTAAAGGTTTTGCTTGTTTAATAGTTGATAGACGTAAAGATCTACAAGTGTTAATAGTAAATAAATATAATGAAAAACCAACAATTAAATATATGAAGCAATAGTTAAAGGTTTTGCTTATTTATAGTTGATAGACGTAAAGATCTAAAAGCGTTAAAAGTAAATAAATATAATAAAAAACCAACAATTAAATATATGAAGCAATAGTTAAAAGTGTTGCTTGTTTAATAGTTGATAGACGTAAAGATCTACAAGTGTTAATAGTAAATAAATATAATAAAAAACAACAATTAAATAAATGAAACAATAGCTAAAGGTTTTGCTTTTTTTAACAGTTGATAGACGTAAAGATTTACATGCGTTAATAGTAAATAAATATAATGAAAAAACAACAATTAATCATATAAAGCAATAGTTAAAAGTGTTGCTTGTTTAAAGGTTCACAAAACCCTCGAGTACTTTTTAAAAAAAAGATTTTAACAGATTTGTGTGTGTTGAGCATCAGTTAAGACAATGTTGGCACCTGTTAGCTTTAATTGTGGGAAACACTGGATAATTTTGATCTTTTGTCAGCTAATTTCAGCTTTTCGGGTTTAAAATGATTTTTGGGGCGGGATAAAAATCGGCGACGTAGCGCAAAACTGCATGTGCAAAGATGACTCGTCGGTTTCTCATTATTATTCATAGCAGAGTTTTCTTATCCTATGAGAAGAGCCGGCTTCTTAATTATTCATGACTGCAAGTGCTTTCCGAAAGCAAGGCAGACCTGTTAGTGCCAAGCTGTGAGACACAGACCCACGGCACACAGTATTTAGCTGTTCATGATGGGTCGTATGCGTTTGTTTCCATAATCCACGGGGTTTGTTGCATGTTTTTCCCTGCGATGCTGTCAGGGCCGATAAAGCAAAGCTGTTTGTGTGCAGCAAGCATTTTTGTCGGGAGAGCAATACGAGAATTGGAGAATGGCGGGCTTTGATATAAATTGTGGTTATCTGTATATGAAATTACGAATAACAAAGTCAGCAGGGCATTAAATTATTGTTTATTTCTTTGCATTTTAACTTTGTAAACTATATAATCATGCGCCTCCTCACGGTTCGTGTATCGGTTTTGTGACCTAACTGACAACAGTTAGGCACGCACGCCCTTTATGATGCATCTTTTGAAAAAATTCTGAGGTAAACCTGAACCGAAAGTGGGGGGTGTCATGACCCTTTTATAGCTGGCAGATGTAAATATCTGCAAGTGTTAACAATAAATAAATAAATAAAATAAAAAAAAAACAACACAACACTTAAATACATGAAGTTATAGCAAAAAGTGTTGCTTGTTTAATAGCTGGCAGATGTAAATATCTGCAAGTGTTAACAACAAATAAATATAATAAAAACACTTAAGTATATGAAGCAATAGCTAAACGTTTTGCTTGTTTAATAGTTTGTAAATGTAAATATCTCCAAAAACCAATAGTAAATCAATATAATAAATGCTAATAGTAATTTTTTAAAGGAAAAATAAAGCTAAATTAAAATAAAATAAAAATCCACTTCTAGCTGATTATCTTTTGGCCATTTAGAATCATAGAATCATTTAGAATCCTAGAGATGCTGAATCTTTATATAGCCAACTATCTTTATTTAAATTCTGACTGACAGCTTAATATAAAATAACATTAAATGAAACAACTAAATAAAATAAAACACGATTTATTTTTAACTTGCTTTGCTGATCATCTTTACAGTTTTATACGCAAACATGCTTTCAGTTTGTCAAAACATCTGGACATTCACTGAGCATTTTAAAGAGCATGGGAGAAATCTAGTTACTCTGGTGCAGGTAGATTGTTTTCCTCCACTACACGATGTGCACAGTGATTCAGAGCCAATTATTTGTAAAGAGGAGCATGCAAAGGTCAGAACATTATCATAACAGTACTCCAGTCTAACATCACTATTTAAAATGTCTAAGCAAAGCAATTTGTGGGTTTATTTTTGTTGCATAAAAACAAAAATATCTACAACAATGCATGCAAAGCAAGATCTTTACAATAGTTTGAAAAAAAAATAATTCTAAAAATAAGTGTTAATCTTAGGGTGCTTTTACACCTTGACACTTGTTTCAGAACCTGTCTATTTATTGCAGTTAGCGTGATTTGTTTGGCATATGTAAACCCAGCAATCACACCCGGATCAGCAACAAATCAAACGGTCTGAGATCGCCTGAATAAGGTGGTCTTAGTTCGATTTAAAAGAACTCCGGAGCGGATCGATTAAGACAGCTAGTAAGAATGTAAAACGATCCAACGAATAAGGCTATATTACAGTGCACTGTGGTTATGTAATAGCCATATATATTACTATATGAAGAGAGCTATGACATTTTTATATTTATTATTTATAATTTTTTTTAGATTAATTATATTTTTACAAAATTTGACAACTGAAATGAGGCTATGTATGTGGAAGTCTTTCCTCTTTCATTTATATTTGGTGACGTTATCTTATGGTGTCAAAATCACAGTGCACCTTTGTGATTATAATGTCCTACAGCTTGTCAACATAAAGTAAAATAACAACGTGACAGCTGAGCGAAATCCATGGGATATAAACTCTGAAACTCTGACCAATGTGAGGCGAGTTTACAGCACATGACTTGTTTAAGCTATTTTGGTCCGTTTAGAAACTTTGCCACATGAAAGCGAACCGCACCAGAAAAAAAATAGTTGTAACAATTTTACACACTTCTAATTTCCTTAATTATAAAGCAAGCTGGTAGTAAAGCATTGATTGTAATGTGATTAAGCTCAAAAGCAACAACATGAGCCTTCAGGAACAATTAGAATAAAGTTTGTCTAATTGTTCTGTGAATTATGGATTCATCAACAAATTAAAATGTTAAAAGAAATGTTTATGCTTATATACATGGCTACTGAATTGAAAATGTTCATTTGGGGAGAAAAAAAAAACTGAAAAATCTCAGTCGTTATTTCTCTGATAAAAGGGTAATTAAATGTATTGCTTTAAAAAAAAAGTAAATAAAGATCATGTTTAAATTTATAACCAGCAGTTGTATGAATATATTTATACATTTATACCAACCAGATGTTTAAATAATATTTCAAGGTCTTGACAGAAAATTCTAAATAAATAAAAGTATCTATATTTACTTAGAAAAACAGCATTTTCTCATTGCAAACTTTAAACTACAGCTGAACAAATTACAGAACAGTCGATCTCTCTCTTTTGTATTACTGTGTTTATACCACACAAACTGGTAGTGTTTGCTTTACTCTGGTTTTTCTTTACTCTGGAGTTAATTATTGTGATCTCCCGATTGCAACAGAGAAATACTGGGAAATCTCTATAGACTGATGGCATTTCATGCCGTATAATCTTAAAATGTCAGCAAAATTACCTGGTTTGTCATCACTTTAGATATTACGCTAGAGAATCATTCAAATACTAGCTCTAAAGAGATGTTGGCAATGTTTCTGCTGTTCTGATGTCAGCTGCAGATGTGAATGAATGGTAGAAGTAGTTCTTCGTACAAAAGGATTTTGAGACTCTCCGTGTTTAATTTTCTTTTTATATACATAATTATATTGTCGAACAGTTGTATAAACACAGTATTACACTCGTAGCAGTATGATACAGCCATATCACACTGCTTCTCCTGTGATATTGCTCATATATATATATATATATATATATATATATATATATATATATATATATATATAAATTTTTTTGATTATTTTTTTAACAATTTTTTTTGATTATTTAAAAAAAATCTTCATAATTAAAAAAATTTGTGCTATTAATTAGTACTAACAGTGCTAATTTACTTGAGCAAGCTCTTATGCTAAATGAAAAAATAAATAAATCGCATTTCTTTTTGAAACAGAAACCTAAAAAAATAACAACACAAAGGAAAACTAATGAAAATATTTAAATGTGTCAATTGTGTCCATTGTGTTTTCTAATGGTCCAAATAATAAAAAACTGATTCTCATTATTGCCTTCAATACCTGTATCCTGCAGCAGTACTCTGTCGAAGCCTCCAGGTTGGAGATCTGGAAGTAGGTTTCATCTCCACTGTAGACCAGTTCAAGCGAATCCAAATCCCGGCCCCAGTATAGCCGATACCCAGAAACATCTATCCCAGAGCTCTCTGTGTTCTGCGGGATCAAGATCACAGCAAACTTTACGCTCCAGGAAATTACAACAACAAACAACAACACATATTCCCAGAATTACACAGCTAATTACCTGCATGACACGGTTTCATCAGGACAAACATGCATCAGACCCACAGATAATAAATGAATCAACCACTCAAGACAGCAAACAGAATGTTAATAAGGGAAGTCTCTCAGATATCTTGACATTTAAGACACAACAAGGCTAAATATCCCATTAATTTTCATTCACTGCAAAACACAGCAGGCCTTTTGTCATGAAAAGCAAGTGTCTTTTGAGAGGAAAAGATGGGAAGAGCAATTATTGTTGATAAGGTTTTGATCTGCCTTCTCCAATATACAAAATCTTCAGTGTCCTCTGGGTGATCGATCAAAATAAAATCCATCAGTGTAAACTAGGATGGTGAATCTATGCTTGTATTATTTGCTTTCTTTGAGTCCCAAAGCCTAAACGCTCTCTTGAAAATTGATTTCATTCACAGTGCAGCAGAAAATTGCTGACGATCATATAACAGCTTGATTTATCATTTCTACTGTAGGAAAAAAACCACTCTACATTTATAATAAAACGATTTTCATACAGGGCTCTGTAGTTTTGAATTTAGCTTTCCCTTATTAATAAAAACCTTCATTCAAAAACTGCATTATGTGTTTTCTTGTGTTATCTCTGGATAACATTTTAATTTGTTTGATGATCTGAAATATTAAAGTGTGACACTCATGCAAAAGAAAAGAAATCGGTAAAGGGGCAAACAGTTTTTCGCACCACTGTATATTCACATTCATAATCCTTAAAAAATGTATATTTGAAACAATTAAGCCACTACTAATACAGTAAAAAATGCTCACTTGTCTGTAATTTTTACAATTTTGCAAGAAACTAGCCTAGAGCACCATCTGCTGTTAGAAACTAGCATAGCAGGCCGCCTGCAGTTAAAAAACTAGCCTAGAGCCCCATCTGCTGTTAAAAATTAGCCTAGAGCCCCATCTGTTGCTAAAAACTAGCCTAGAGCTTTATCTGATCTGCTGTTAGAAAGTAGGATAGAGCGCCATCTGCTGCTAAAACCTAGCCTAGAGCCCCATCTGCTGTGGAAAAACTAGCCTAGAGCCCCGTCTGCTGTTAAAATTAGCCTAGATCGCCATCTGCTGTTAAAAATGAGGCTAGAGCGCCATCCTCTTTTAAAAACTAGCCTCGAGCACCATCTGATCTGCTGTAAAAACTAGCCTAGAGCACCATCCTCTTTTAAAAACTAGCCTAGAGCACCATTTGATCTGCTGTTAAAAACTAGCCTAGATCGCCATCTGCTGCTAAAAACTAGCCTAGAGCCCCATTTGCTGTTAAAAACTAGCCTCGAGCACCATCTGATCTGCTGTAAAAACTAGCCTAGAGCACCATCCTCTTTTAAAAACTAGCCTAGAGCACCATTTGATCTGCTGTTAAAAACTAGCCTAGATCGCCATCTGCTGCTAAAAACTAGCCTAGAGCCCCATTTGCTGTTAAAAACTAGCCTAGAGTGCCATCTGGTGTAAAAAAAACAGGCCTTGAGCGCCATCCTCTTTTAAAAAGTAGCCTAGAGCACCATCTGATCTGCTATTAAAAACAAGCCTAGATCGCCACCTGCTGCTAAAAACTAGGCTATAGCGCCATCCTATTTTAAAAACTAGCCTAGAGCACCATCTGATCTGCGGTTAAAAACTATTCAAGATCGACATCTGCCAATAAAAACTAGCCTAGAGTGCCATCTGCTGTTAGAAACTAGCCTAGAGTGCCATCTGCTGCTAAAAACTAAACTCAAAATCAAAAAGAAAACAGCAATCCAATAAAAAAAATGCAGAATCAATGTCGATTTAGATTTCTTAAACAATTTTGCATGTGTGTCTGCATGTGTGTCTGTGTGTGAATGAAAGGCCCAGTTTGGCTATCAAATGAACTAAAAAATGAAAAAATAGGAAAAAAGAAAACTGATTCACCTCCCAGGTCACATGAGCGCAGGTGTGTGAAGTCGCATTGATGACAGGAGGATTACATTGCTCTGGAGGTCCAGCGGCTGTGCTGATGTCCACAGATTCAGAGAACGGGCCATACTGAGAAACAGAAGAGAGAAACACCGGCTAAGATTTAGTGTGTTTTTACTGCTGTCTCTCATGTAATGAATGGCCTGGGCTCAACCATAAGGAGGGAAATCTGTTATTTCTGTGGCAGGTAAAACCCAAAGTGCTACACCCTGTCAGACATCCATCCTCAGTGACGGCTGAATGAGCTTCTTAATAAGTTTTCCAATACAGAAAGCAGATCTCTTTGTCACCCTGAGGTGATGTGGAAGGTTTGTTATAAAACGTGGATTCCACGTAGGAGAGAGAAAACAACTGGAGAGATGGGATTTAGACTAATGGGGATGAAATTATAGGTGGTTGAAATGTAACTGTCCTGACTCATTGCTTATGAAAGCCTGCATTATGCAACGAGTTAAAATAAATGCTATTTATATTGTGGCATTTCAGGAGAATGTGCTAATTTGTGAAATAAAAACACTAATTGATTGGTGTAAAAGATCAAAATTTAATCTAATATACATTTCAAACAACTAAATTGAATGTGTATATATATAATTGAATTAATTATTTTATACTATGATAATTATTATACTATTTATGTACCATTATAATATACATTAACCAGCCACTTTATTAGGTACACCTGTCCAACTGCTTGTTAATGCAAATCTCTAATCAGCCAATCACATGGCAGCAACTCAATGCATTTAGGCTTGTAGACATGGTCAAGATGATCTGCTGCAGTTCAAACCGAGCATCATAATGGGGAAGAAAGGTGATTTAAGTGACTTTGAACCTTCCATGGTTGTTGGTGCTAGACAGGCTGATCTACTGGGATTTTCTAGCACAACCATCTCTATGGTTTACAGAGAATGGTCTGAAAAAGAGAAAATATCCAGTGAGCGGCAGTTCTGTGGGCACAAATGTCTTGTTGATGCCAGAGGTCAGAGGAGAATGGCCAGACTGGTTCTAGCTGATAGAAAGGCAACAGCAACTCAAATAACCACTCCTTAAAATCGGGGTATTCAGAAGAGCATCTCACAACACGTCCAACCTCGAGGCAGATGAGCTACAGCAGCAAAAGATCACACCGGGTGCCACTCCTGTTAGCTAAGAACAGGAAACTATAAGCACAGGCTATAATTTGCACAGGCTCACCAAGCTTGGACAATGGGACATTGGGAAAAACATTGCCTGGTCTGATGAGTCTCGATTTCTGCTGCGACATTCGGATGGTAGGGTCAGAATGTGGCCTCAACAACATAAAAGCATGGATCCATTCTGCCTTGTATAAACAGTTCAGGCTGGTGGTGGTGGTGTAAGAGTATGGGGGATATTTTCTTGGCACACTTTGGGCCCATTAGTACCAATTGAGCATTGTGTCAATGCCACAGCCTACCTGAGTATTGTTGTTGACCATGTCCATCCCTTCATGACCACATTGTGCTACTTCTAGCAGGAAAACGTGTCATGTCAGAAAGCGCGAATAATCTCAAACTGGTTTCTTGAACATAACAATGAGTTCACTGTGCTAAGATGGCCTCCACAGTCACCAGAGCTCAATTTAATAGAGCACCTTTGGGATGTGGAGGAACGGGAGATTCGCATCATGGATGTGCAGCTGACAAATCTTTAGCAACTGCATGATGCTATCATGTCAATATGGACCAAATATTTCCAGTGCCTTGTTGAGTCTATGCCACGAAGGATTATGGCAGTTCTGAGCGCAAAGGAGGTCCAGCTCAGTACTTGTAAGATGTACCTAATAAAGTGGCCGTTGAGTATATATGTCAATATTTGTAATTAGCTTTTATTTATTCATCGTTTTCATGTTAGCATTAGTTTACGTTTCAGTCATTTTTTGTGCATTTGTAGTATTAGTATATATAATAAGTATATTATATATTATGAGACATTAGTTCATATAATGTCCTTTTGTATTTGTTTTTCTTTTAAAATTTATTTTGCTCTTTATTTTTTAGTTAGTATATTAGTAATTATGTTTGTAAACTTTTATGGTTATTGACATTGCAGTTATTCATTGTTAATTCAATGTTGATGTTCATTCTATAAACGAAGTGGAAATAATAAATGGCTTACCCCCGCACTGTTGACTGCACGAACTTGAAACCTGTAGGTGGTGCCAGGGAGCAAATTACCCACAGTGCACTCCGTTTTAGATCCACGAAACACCTCCACTGGCTCTGAATCCTCCTCTATTGCACACATCTCTAAACAAAACTCAACCCCGTCAGTCTCTTCGTCACACAAAGAAGCATCTGGAGAAACAAAGAATGATGGGTGAATGGGAGAGGTATAGAGAGACAAGGACAGAACAATACACAATCATAAAAAGTGGAAAAGCATCACTTCTCAGTCAATATAGATGATTACATATTTAAGGCGAACTGTGTCAGACATCCTGAGTGAAACAAATATGGTGGATACATCAAAAAACGATTGCGTTTATTTTCATTTATGTATAAAAAAGAACATGAGTTGTTTAATTGTTATCATTTATAATATTATTTCGAATTTGTAGTATTTATAAAAAAAACATATAATCATAATTATTAATTAAATGAAAGTTAATATATTAAATAAAAATATATATAATAATAATATTAATAATAATAATAATGATGATGATGATGGTGAATATAATAATAATAATAATAATAATATAATAGTAATAATGATGATGATTAATTTGGTGAATAACAACAACAATAATGACGATGATGGTCAATATAATAACAATAATAATAACAACAATAATAATAATATAGATGGTGAATATAATAATAATAATAATAATAATAATAAAAATAATGGTGAATATAAGAAGAATAATAAGAGGAATAATGATGATTAATATGGGGAATATTATCAACAACAATAATAATAATGATGATGATGGTGAGTATAATAATAATAATAATAATAATAATGGTGAATATAATAATAATGAGAAGAATAGTGAAGATGATGATTAATACGGGGAATAATAACAACAACAACAATAATAATAACAATGATGTTGAATATAATAATAATAATAATAATAATAATAATAATAAAATAATGGTGGATATAATAAGAATAATAATAATAATAATAAAAATAATGGTGAATATAAGAAGAATAATAAGAGGAATAATGATGATTAATATGGGGAATATTATCAACAACAATAATAATAATGATGATGATGGTGAGTATAATAATAATAATAATAATAATAATGGTGAATATAATAATAATGAGAAGAATAGTGAAGATGATGATTAATACGGGGAATAATAACAACAACAACAATAATAATAACAATGATGTTGAATATAATAATAATAATAATAATAATAATAATAATAAAATAATGGTGGATATAATAAGAATAATAAGAAGAATAATGATGATTAATATGGGGAATAATAACAACAACAATAATATAATGACGATGATGGTGAGTATAATAATATTATGAATAATAATAATAATAATAATAATAATAATGGCAAATATAATAATAATAATAATAATAAGAATAATGATGATGATGATTAATATGGGGAATAATAAAAACAACAATAATAATAATGACGATGATGGTGAATATAATAATACCAATAGTAACAATAATAATGATGGTGAATATAATAATAATAATAATAATAATAATAATAATAATAAATAATAATAATAATAATAAATAACAATGATGATGATGATTATGATAATGGTGAATATATTAATAATAATAATGGCGATTATGATGACGGTTAATATAATAGTAGTAGTAGTAATAATAATAATAATGATACCAATATTAATAATAAATATGATAATGGCGTTGATAATAAAAATAATGATGATAATAATAATAAAATTTTATAAATTAGTATTATTACTATGATTACGAAGATGGTGATGATTATGATAATATTAATAATAATAAATATTAATTAGCTTATTAATTTTTATCATCATTCCAGTGTTCACACTTAGATCTTGCTTGATAATAATCACAGGATTGGCATGCTGTCTCCGGAAAGAACTCTGAGCTCTGAGATATTGCAGCCTAGGGCTACTGCCTGATAATTTAGCAGGTACGGCGATCCGAGATCATAAAGTAAAGGGGGAGATGTGCTGGATAGGGGGATTCTTTAAAAATACAGATAAGGGAAATAAGATGAAATGGGCTATTTGTTGTAGGTTTGGATTAATTTGATAAGTTTATTCATGATTGTAGATGAGAGACCAGCCGTGATAAATCATATCATGTTTTCCTCTTAAAATTTGTTTATAAAACTTCACTCAACACTGCATACCAAAAATCATTTCACTATGAATCCGCAATTCTGTTTCATCACAGAAACCCTTTGTGCAACCCACAATGCAATTCTGCTGTAACGATGCTCACGTGCCCAAAACACAAACTTTTTGAGAACCTCAAGACATCTCAACTCTCAAAACTAAATCACACTCCCAGTTTCCTCCACGACTGTGGCTACAAAAAGGAACGGATCAATTGCAGTGATGGAGAACATGCAGGGAAGCTCACGTCTGCTGTCTGAGAGTCAGTGTGGACGGCTCAAATCAGCACTGCTATTTCAATTATTTATAGAGCGCATTCAGCCTCTTAAACGAGCCCACTTTCACTTAAAAACAGTGAGTCAGGGCTAGAAATCGCTAACAAACAAGTGCGTTTTTGCCTCACTCATGTGTACATGTGTACAAAGATCGACACATTAATGGGGTGATGTAATGTGTGAAAAGCACAAAACGTAGCTGCAAAGTTTTTGCAGTCAGCGCAGATGCATTGTGGGTAAACATATTTGAGATTTTCCGAGCTATAATTGAAAAAAAAAAGTTCTCAATAGTTGACCTTTTAACCTGGCAACAACAAGCAATTAGTCTAAAAGCAATCAAGCTCCTTTTTCTTCAGCTTGTTAGGAGCTGCGCTTTCACTTCTCTTCAACTGGATCAGTCCACTGGTTGTCTAGGGGAATGTTACTATGGGAATATTATTGGAGAAAAGTCAGAAATACTACATCTGGTTAAATAATTAGTCTTCCTGAAGTATTAGCCTGAGTATATTTTCCCCCAATTTCTGTTAGCAAAAGATTTTTCCAACACATTTCTAAACGTAATAGTTTTAATACCTCATTTCTAATAACTGATTTCTTTTATCTTTGTCATGATGACAGTACAAAATATTTTACCAGATAGATTTCAAGATACTAGTATTCAGCTTAAACTGAAATTTAAAGGCTTTACTAGGTTAATTAGGCAAGTTAGGGTAATTAGGCAACTCATTGTATAACGATAGTTTGACCTAAAAAAGGTTTTTTAAAAAAATCCACTTATTTGGTAAACACAGCAAGTCTCTCATACAATATATCTACTAAAAGATTATTACTTTACAAACTGTATTGTAAATAAATCACATGAACTTTTTTTATTAGTCAATAATATTACTGTAATTAATAAAAAAACTGAATAAACATACATTTACACGAGTAAAAAAACAGACTATAATAAAAAAATAATGATGGGCTAAAAATCTGCAAATTTCTGCACACTCAGATTCAGTGTGAGCCCACTAGTATCTTAGAAATGCATATTATTTTGCGCAGTTGTGAGTTTACGGGCTTTTCCACAATTTTCACAAATCCCCAACTTTTTTCTCAAACATTATTTATTGCAATTCAGAATTTAAATTAAGCAAAAATAACTTTACCCTTCCTTCGGATTTCTTACATGATGCTAACTTGTTCTACATTATCAAATCAATATCTCAATGTACAAAGTTGTGGCTCTGGAAAAATTAAGCTAATTATTTTTGTGATTTTTATAAGTTAAATCACATGTTTATCATTTAAAAATCTGATAAGACAGGACATCTGCAACTGCTAAACCACTAAAAAGGTCAGAATATATATTATTACTATTAGGTACAGATTTACAAGTCATATAATGTGGTAAAAAGTCTTTAGCACAATACAGTGACTATAGAAAAATCATCAAACCCCTTTGAAATATTTACTTTATTGGTCAAATAGCCTGAAATTAAATCACATTACAAATAACTTTTCCAGCTTTTGAAATGTTTGTTGTAGTCTTCTACTAACAACTCTCCTACAACGTTACCCCAAAGTTGTTTTTGAAAGCAGGGTGCATAATGTGAGTAAAGTTTTCACAAGGCATGCTGATTTTCTATAGGCACTGTGAATGCTATTTTCAGAGAATGCACTCTTTTTACACTTATAAACACAGAGGAAAGTAAAAAAATAAAGTAATCAAATGAAAAAAAAGCCTCACCCCATTGCAAAGTCAGCTCCTTGTGTTTGACATTTCCCATAATGCTCGGTGGTTGGCATCGTCCAGGAGGCGGGATGAGAGTGCGCACCGTCACCTCACCTGACCACTGCACGAGTGAGTCAACATTAAACACAATGAGCAAACTAAGACCTTACAACATGAATCAGCTGTGGGGATCAGTGAATGATCTTCTCTAACCTGGCTTTGTCCGGCTGCACTGACACAGCTCAGTCTCAGGGAGAAGCTCGTTGCTGATTTAAGATCCTCACACGAATGTTTCCTCTCTGGTCCTCTATAGACAGCCTCCCACTGTCTCTCTGATGAAAGTGAACATGGATTAACTACAGATTCATGTCAAAAGCCCCATCAGGAACATGTCAATACTTTACATACAAGCAAAAGAACAAGAAAAAAGCTAAATAGAAACTACACTCTAAAAATGCTCGATTACAAATGTCGTCCCAACTCAATCGATTAAGAAAACCTAATGGTTTTTACAATTTTAAGTTGATTGAACATAAAATAAAACTAATTAAGCTGTCCCGAAAAACTCAAGAATTGTGCTGTTTCCACTCATTTTGAATAAGTGGTTTGAACAAGCAGCAAAAATATTTTGCTTGAGTGTATACAGCTGTTTTTACTTCATTTAAATGTTACCTTTCATATCATTACATTATACCTAACTAGAATATGCTGATCTGATTTCAAGTAAAAATAGAAACATGTTTACAACTACAAAAATACTCATAATTATATAGATGCTGTTAATATTGTGAACTTTCTAATTAGGAAAAAATTCAGAGTGCATTTAAAAGGATAACTCATGCACAAATGAAACATTTCTCATTATTTACACACCCTCAAGTACAGTAGTTTCAAACCTTTGACTTTCTTTCATCTGTTGGACACAATATATGCTTTAAAAAAAAGCTGCAAACCTGAAAGCATTTACTTCTAGAGTAGAAAATACTACGAAAGTAAATAGTTGCTCGTTGCAAATGTGAATGTGTCAAAAACTAAAGAATTGCTTGTTAACTTTGGAATGAAACACCTGCTCTCAAAAGGGTGGTCATAAATGAAACACAGGTCAATGTCGTGGAGGAATATACAGTAGGTGCCTTGGAACAACAGGTTGAAATTTGATCAAAATACACATACAATTATTAATAAGGCCACATCCATTTCACCCTGCAGCCCAAGACTGATTACTCAATGAAGCTAAGCAGTGCTGAGCCACATGTGAAAACTAGGTCGCTGCCAGAAGTAGTGTTAGTGAGGCCTGCAGGAGGCACTAAACCTGTGGTTTGTGCGAGTCCTAATGCCCCAGTGTAGTGAAAGAAACACTGTCAGTGAGCGCCGTCTTTTGGATGCGACATTAAACCGAGGCCCTGACTCCCTGTGGTCATTAAAAATCTCAAGGCACTTCTCGTAAAGTGTAGGGGTGTAACCTCGATGTCCTGGCCAAATTCCCTCCATTGGCCCTTAACCATCATGGCCTCCCAATCATCCTCATTCACTAAATTGACTGTCTCTCCACTTCACCTACAGCTGGCGTGTCCTGTGGCTGCCAAGTGGATGCTGCACACTGGTGGAGGTGTGGAGAAAAATTTTGTGAATTCCTCTGCGAAGTCTTGTATGTTATTATGAACTCAGGTGTTGAGGATGGCACAGAAAATAATAGGAGAAAGCACACCCTCTTTATAATAGCTATTATAGCCATAACAGTCTGCTAATTTATTTGCAGCTTTTTCTAATGTTTACTATTTAACTATAATAGTTACTATAATGTATACTATTTTTCTATCTTGAGTAAATAATAATAACAATAAAAGATACTACTGATAGTTTATTTACATTTAAACTGTTTATTTACAATGAAAAAATGAACTCTAGAAAAACATATTTAGTAATTTGAGGAATTTCCCTTATTTTCACATCCATATGTTGACAGGTATGTTAAGCGTTGGTGTTTATTGTGTTAAGTGTGTCATTCTTGTCATTTGAAGCACCACCATCTCCAAATGAATTGCCCCAAAGCGGAACTAAACTACAAACATTCTTCAAATTAGCAAATTTTTTGATTGACAGAAAAAAGAAAGTCATAAAGTCTTGGTATAGGGTGAGTAAAAAATTAAATTTTTATTTTTGCGCCAACTATTCCTTTAAATAAATAAGATTATTTAAATGAGTTAGTAGTATTGGAATAAAAAGGGAAACCTTTAATAATACCTTCATTATTATTACTTTCTGAAATCTCCAGGATGTACGTCAAGTCTCCAGAGCCACCATCATCTTCTGGAGGTTCTGATTTCATCATATAAAAACAGAGAGAAGGGGAAAGGGTGGAAGTGTTATTAAAATGTACAGAAAAGAATCTAAAAGATAAAATGCTTAAAAGATAAAAGTTTTTCCTACCCCACGTCACGCAGAAGCTGTGATATGTTAGTGTGTTAACTGCAGGATTCACAGGGGGTCCGGGTCTCTCTGCGGTCGTCTTACACACAAGCAGAGAACTCGGTGCGCTACGCCACTCGCCACTACATGTGATGAGCTATAGGAGGCAATTGGAGAGATTTTAGAGAATCACGTGAACAGAAGCATATATTATTTCTGCATTATGTATTTAGTGTGTGTTTTTCAGAAGAAATCACTGCTTTTATTCATAAAAGATACAGTTTGGAGTTTATTGCCATATTAGCTTCTCTGGCTATGTCATGGCAAAAAAAAACAAAAAACATTAGGTTTACCAGATTTTATAAATATCACTCTTCTATAATTATGAAAATATTTGAACAATAAAAAGTCATCAACAGCAATAAATAATATGTGAGATAAAATACATAATAATAATAATAATAATATTTAAGAAAATCTAGAGCCGTTTTTAAGGTTTATTTTTAATAAAAATTGTACAATTGTGAAAGGATTTACATTTAAAGTCTCTCCAGATAAAAATCTTTGTCTGTTAACTTTAAAAATAGGGCATTTCACAAGTATATGTTTAACAGTTTGGTTCTGGTTGCTTATTCAGAAAAAGTGCATCAAAAAAGGATCAAAAATGACTACAACTTTTTTCATTACAACAAAAACTGCTTTTTAACTGCTTATTTGCTGAAGAATCTTCTAAAAAATGCATCACAGCTTTTACTGTTTATTATTTTTCCAAACTGTGCTGCAAATTGCTTTGTTTTAAATTAAAAGATTAAAAACATGTTTCCACATGATGACAAACAAGATAATGTAGATGTATGTAAAATAATCATACATTGTTCTGAAAACAGATAATTTGAGTTTGATCAGATCAGGCATGTTACACAAGGAACCATTCAAGATACATTATGAAAATGCACAAAAAACATATGCGCATAACTGAGTAGGATAAACTTTCATTCGAAAAGAAAAGATGCACATAAATTACGATTGAAACACGTTTACCAAACAAATTCCAGTATGCACTTTAAAACAATCGTTTTATTTTGTTACAAGAGATCTGAGATGATAAAAGTGTGTGTGAATAGACAAGCCAGCAGCCTGAGCACATTGTAAAACATCTGAAATGTAGTTTTGGTGGCCTTGAAAGGCCTTAACCATCTCAGTATTAGTGTTTTTAAATTGTTCATTTCCTCCAGACTTGTCAAGAGCGTCTGTGCTCTGCGTCTTATGCCTTTAAATGCCACTGCGCATTCACTGCATGTCAGTATTGCCATCTGAGGCGTAAGTCATTTATTAAATAAAGAAAAGATTCACGCAGCTTCTCCTACCATAGCAAATTCTGTTTTCACTGTTGATATTTGGCGCCAGATAATCAGTGACGATTTTGTTCGATTTGACTTATTGGGTGGAAACGCTGCTTTATTCGCACATCCTTTATGCGAAAATCCAGTTTTGCACAAAGTTATTTAGCATTTTTGGATGGAAACATAGCTAGTGTTGATCTCCTTTGTTGATAAAAGGCAATTGAGTAAATCAACCACAAAAGGGAGCCACAAGAGCAAGTTGCATGGCTTTCGCAAAGGATCAAGTCATTGGATTTATAATAAAATGCCACAGAAAGGCAAATTCCATTAACGTAATTGTTCTGTATTGCAACACATTTAAATACTATGCCAGTGTTCCATTCGACATTTATTCTCTAAATCAACATGACTGGTAGTTCCTATTGCGTTGGATTAGGTTTCGCTCTAAAGTGGGAACTAATTAAGCTACCTCAAAAGTCATTTCTAAAAAGTAAAATCATTGCCAGCTAAAACGCATGTGCAATCTCCAATAGTTCTAGGAACTACAAAATATTTTGTCTGATGCAAAAACCTCATTCATTCATTGATTTGTTCATTCATTTTTAGTCCCTTATTTATCAGGGGTCATCACAGCAGAATAAACCGCCAACTATTCCAGCATGTTTTACGAAGTGGATGCCCTTCCACTACTGTACAGGGAAACACCCACACACACACACACACACTAACTCATAAACCACTATGGCCAATTTACTTTTTCCAATTTACCTATAGCGCATGTCTTTAAACTGTGGGGGAAACCCATGCAGCCGGAGGAAACCCATGCAAACACAGAAGGAACATGCAATCTCCACACAGAAATTCCAACTATCCCAGCCGGAACTCAAATCAGTGACCATCTTGCTGAGTGAGGGGACAGTGCTAACCACTGAGCCACCACGCTATGCAACCTTAATAAGTCACATCATTGCAAACCATAATGTAAGTGGATTATCTGACAGGGACTTAAACAGTACATTATTCAGGATTATAGCACTCATTTGCAGTGACCTGAGATGACACGATGGAAAAGCGGATAACTGAGATGATGACTGAAGATTTCAGGAGGCACTTTTGTGTACAGGACAACACGATGTTTGCATGCCCAATCACCAGAAGCATCGCAGGGAGAGACATTTAAATCCTCTCTGAGGGGTGTTTCTCCCTTGACGATGCTAACGCAGTGTTCTTAGCCTTCTCAGAGATTAGACTAAAAGCTTTTAACACGTAGCACCACTGGAAATCAATTCACCTTCCCCCAACAACAACCTCAACAGCTGCAGGATCTGAGAAACCGCTTCAGGTTATCGAAGAAACCAACGTTCATTAGATTATGGCTAATTGCCTGATTAGCAGAGAAGGAAATGAGGAAGCAGAGGTGTTTTGAGAATGCGTGCTAGTTAAACACCAGAATTGTTTGTTTGTGTGTATGCGAATGAATGGAAGCAGAGTATATGTACACATTAAAGACTTTGCATCTCAAATCAGTGCTGGAAAGCTCATTACTCACCCTGAATTTGTACTGTGTGTTCCTTCTCAAGGACTCCACCTTATGGTTCAGCTCCAAACCGCTGTAAACTGCTTGAAAGTCCAGTCCCTGCCAGAAAAACATAATCCTTTAGGTGTCAGAAAGTGAAGTATGGAACAACTATTGACAGGTTTGCTTTCGAGCCCGTCTAAATCATCATTTTACACTTAAAAATACTGCAAACAGAATCAAGTGAAAACAGTGGAAAATTGCTGTGAAAATTAAAATGAAGTGGAAAAAAATAAGCAGCAATTATAAAGCCTAGTACTGCTCCAAACTCGAGCAAATTTCTTTTTGGATGACATCATTAATGCCTCATGCTTTTCAATGGCTATGTTTCAATCTACCTATTTTTTTATTTTTGTTTATTTGCGATTTAATTATATACAAAAAAATTACAATTTCATCAACAAACCCCAACTCACCCCTTTATACATCAGACAACATCTGCCTATTTTTATGCACATTTTAGAATACTGCAAAAAGAAAATAAATAATTTAAAATTTAAAATAAATTAATAATAACAATAATAAATATAGCTGCAAGCAGCAATTATCGGGGCCAAGAAGCCCAGTGGCCACATCATAAACCAGCAAGGCAACAAGCTAAGGAGCAACTGGAAAACTCCATGGAAAAACAGCCTTGGATGAGTTCGTTCAAATAGGTTTTACAAATATTTCAAAATAGCGTAAAAAATGTCATGACGAAAATTACGTCACCGGGTGCGTTTGAATTGGCTTGAGCAAAGGAATCAGGAGAATTTTTGATTGTAGCCCATTCCAGTCCAAATTTATAAAGATAAACATAAATGAAACATTGGACAAGTAGTGGTGGTAGAGAGTTTGAGTTAGAGTCCAAATGTGTTGTGGTTGAAGATCAAACTGTCCTCTATCAGTGCACCAAAGTTTGCACAAATGCCGCAAGCAGTTGATAGGGCTGCCATTGACTCCCAGAGCAGAAGAAGAAGAGGAAGAAGCCAGAAAAATAATAATAGAAACCGGAACGGATACAATAGTATAATAATAATGTTGGGTGAAACAAGAAGATGCACATAAATTCTAGAAACATGCATGGGAAAAAAGTGTGCTAGTTGTCTAATATTTTTTCTACGCCATAAAAGGATATGCCTGCCTACAAAAGCAAGACACTATGACAGCAGTTATTATTATAGAGAAAAAAAGAGCTCCTGCTTGCATTATTTTATTATTTCATTCATTCAATTATTTTCCTTCGGCTTAATCAATTATTTATCAGGCGTCGCCACAGCAGAATGAATCCGCCGACTATTCCAGCATATGTTTTACACAGCGGATGCTCTTCCAGCCGCAACCCAGTACTAGGAAACATCCATACACTCTCACATTCACACACAAACACTATGGCCAATTGTGGGGGAGACCGGAGCACACTTCAGGAAACCCCAACCAACATAGAGAACATGCAAACTCCACACAAAAATGTCAGCTGATCCAGCCAGGACTTAAACCTCAGCGAAATGTATTTTATTATATAAAAAAAAAGAAATATACAAAAAAAAATAATAATAATAAAAAAAAATATATATATATATATATATATATATATGTGTGTGTGTGTGTGTGTGTGTGTGTGTATATGTGTGTGTGTGTGTCATATAATTGTGTTCTCCTACAATTAAAAAAATGCTACATTACCGCAATAACAAAGAAGGAACATTTGTTCCTTAACAATTAGTGGATCAAAAATGACAGCCTCACTAAACAACAAAGAGTGAGATTTCAAATATTTGGATGACGCATCAGACTGCTGTGTGAAACACGACGGCCATTAGTCTGAAGAGTCCATTTACACTGTGGGGAAAGCCAATTAGCCAGAAAATAGCAAGGGAATAAATAAAACAAACATGTCATCCAGTATATTACCCTAACAAAGAGAAAAAAATATATATTTGAAAACAGAAAGACAATGCTACAGAAGCTCAGGGGGATTATAGGATGTAGAATGTATGGTAGGGGTGAGTTCAACACCTTGGTCTCATCCTGCATCTCCAGGGTGTACGTGATCATTTCCTCAGCGCTGCAGCTGTTTGGTCGCGTCCACTCTAGTGTAACCCAGGATGATCCAGCCAGAACTAGCCGTGGAGGTAAAGACGTCTGCTGGAGGCTCCCTGTGGTGTAAAATACGACTTCTGTACTGAATCCACTGCAGACAAAAGCAGAAAAAAAAACACTCCATCAAGACTATACTTCATATCTGACTCTCTTCAAAAGCACAAAAAATATTAATTATTTATACTTTCTCCCTCTATGCTGAAACTCACAGCGAGTAGTGCGGATTTTTTTTTTCTTATTTGCCACACCATTAAACTTAAGGACACCGCAGAGACAACATTTCAATAAATTGTGTACAACCCAAAGCTTGAGGGGTTATAAATGCCATTTTATGATTTATGGCTAAAGACAATCCACTTAAAAAGATAGTATTTCACCTGAACCTCAAAGAAACTATTGAAAACCGTAATATAATGATGGTATCAGACGGAAATATCAAAATACTCATTGACTATTATATTCAATTTCTTCAATTCAATACTTGAACATGAGAAATAACAAAAACACACAGTGTACGTAATACGCAAATGATGTATAAACCAAAGGTACAGGGTTACTGAACTCTTAAAAAGAAGTTTTTAAAAAAAACATTAATTAAAATGAAAAAAAATTCAAATCAAATTAAATAAAAAAAAAACTGTGGGGAGTCAAAGACTTAAAAAAACTAATTAATTAATTAATTAATTTAATCATATCAACAAAATTGTGGGAAATCAAGGTTTTATGAAATAAAATTTAATAAAAAATTTAAATTAATTTAAAATTGTGGAAACTCAAAGTCTTACAAAATAAAATGAAAAAATAAAAAAATATATATTTCAATTAAAATTGTGGAAATTTAAGGTCTTAAAATAAAATAAAATAAAATTGAATTAATAAATAAAATAAATTAAAATAAAATAGTAGAGAGTCAAAGACCTAAAATTAAAAAAAAAAAATTAATTAAATAAAATAAAATAACTGGTTAAACGCCAAGATAAATTTTTATTTATAATGTTTAAAGAGACAAAGAAGCAAACCTGGTGCCAATGTCATTAAGCGCTGCAACTCGAAAAGTGTACCCGACACCAGGGCACAGCCTCAATACTTTGCAGTGTCTCTGGGGTACGACACAATATTCACGGAAAATGCTGTTCTTTTTCCCCTGGAAAAAAAAAGCAGCAAGGATGCGGTCAGCAGTGACAAAGGGGACAGCAACATGCATAAAAAAGTCAGCGAGAGTCGCACACTGTGTCAGAAGAACAGGACACACTTGACATGAAAAGAACAACAACAAGAGCACAACTGCTGCTGGAAGCTGTGCTAATTGTCACAACAACACGCACAAGAATTGATTTAAAGTTCAAGGCAGAGCCTTTCTAAATGATTTCTGCGGGGAAGAAACAGCAGCTACAGACATTTCTGGAGCGGCAGAGAGTTTTAATGAACTCTTAATGAGACAGAAAAGCTTTGAGTAAATAAAACCACCAAAGCAGACAGTCTCTAGCATAAAGCATCTCTCAACTCTGGCATAAAGCATCACATCTCGTGCAACAGGGATAGGAAAAAACAGCACAGTAATAGCAAAAAGGAAGACAAATAATGAACAAAATGGAGAGGAAATGAGGGAGAGAGACAGAGAAATCAAGTGGGTGGTTCATAGGTAGACCAGACATGGGTAGACCAGATATATATATATATATATATATATATATATATATATATATATATATACATACATACGTACGTACGTACGTACGTATATATATATATATATATATATATATATATGTATGGATGTATGGATGTATGTATGTATGTATGTATATATATAAAGTATAAAATGTGTATATTTTAAAGTGGATAAAAAAGTTAATCCAAATTCTCCTAAGACTAGAATGGGCATTGTTCAATACATATTTTTACCTACTTGATTAAAGATTTTGATCCTTTTCAAAATTGTATTTTTCTCTAGTGTATTTTGAGGACAAAAATACATACCTCATCCCATTCCACAATGTAATTGTTGATTTTTGAGCCATTGTCTGCTGGAGGCTGAAATAAAAAATATTTATTTTAATATAAAAAACAAATAATAATTATTTACAAATACAACTACATTTACACCACAATTCAAAATTTTAGATTGAGTTATTTAAAAAAAATGATTTGGCTGCATTTACAGGTATGTGCCAAAAAATTGGAATATCGATGGAAAATCCATTTGTTTCAAAAATTTCTTTCAAAAAGTGAAACTTGTGTGCTATATTAGTTCACTACACACATAGTGAAATGTTTCAAGCTTTCATTTGTTTCAATTTGAATGATTATGGATTAAAGATGAAAAAATAAAAACTCAAATCCAGTATTTCTCAAAATGTGAATATCATGACAAAGTTCAACTATGTAGGTTCCATGTGTCTCAACCCATTTCGCTAATTAATGCAAAGCCTTGAAACTGTCTCAGTCTGGCTTAGTAGGCTTCAGAATCATGGGGAAGACTGACTTGATGGTTGTGTAGAAGACCAAAACTATAACCCTCTATAACACAGGTGTCAAACTCAGTTCCAAAAGGGCCGCAGCTCTGCACAGTTTAGTTACAACCCTAATTAAACGCACCTGATCAAACTAATTGAGTCCTTCAGGCTTGTTTGAAACCTACAGGTAAGTGTGTTGGAGCAGGGTTGGAACTAAACTGTGCAGGGCTTCGGCCCTCCAGGAATTGAGTTTGACACCCCTGCTCTATAAGGAGGAAAAGTCGCAAAAGGCAATGGCAAAAGAAGCTGGATGCTCAGTGAGCAGAGAAAGGGAAAATGTGAGTGCAAAAGGTGCACAAGTATGAACGCAGCCTTGAGAGAATTGTCAAGCAAGGGCGACTGAGGCTGGTGTCAGAGCATCCAGAACCACCACATACAGACATCTGCATGACTCGGGCTACAGCTGTAGAATCCCACTTGTTAAGCCTCTCCTGAACCAAAAAACAATGTTAGAAGTGTCTGTGCTGGGCTAAAGGGAAAAAGTACTGGTCTGTACTGCCAGTGGTCCGAATTTCTCTTTTCAAATGAAAGCAAATTTTGTATTTCATTTGGAAATCAAGACCTCAGAGTCTGGAGGAAGAGCGGAGCAACACAAAAGTCAAGTCTAATTTTCTATTATAAATTTAGTCAACCCAGCTTGACCCAGGACGTTTTAGAGTGCTTCATGCTTTCTGCTGCCAACAAGCTTTTTGGATGATGATGATTTTATTTTCCAGCAGGACTTAAACCAGGTACTGGAAGCTTCGGCACTGTGTCTTGGTTTCAAGGACCATTGTCTCCCTGTTCTGAACTGGTCTGGAAACTTACCTGACTTAAACCCAATTGAACATCTATGGGCTATTGTCAAGAGAAAGATGAGGGAACAGAGGCCCCAAAATGCAGACGAGGTGAAGGCTGATATCAAAGCAACTTGGGCTACCATAACACCTCAGCTGTGTCAAAGGCTGATCTCCTCCATTCCACACTGACTTGATTCTGTAATTAGTGCAAAAGGAGGCCAAACACAGTACTGAGGACTTTAAGATCCTTTTCTTATTGGTCAAATGAAATATTCTAGTTTTGAGAAATCCTGGATTTGAGTTTTTTTTCATTTTTAATCCATAATCATTCAAACAGAAACAAATGAAGGCTTGAAATACTTCACTTTTATGTGTGGTGAACTAATATAACACACATTTCACTCTTTGAACAAATTATTGAAATAAACCTTTCCTCGATATTCTACTTTTTTGGCACATACCTGTATTTGTTCAAAAATACAGTCATATTTGAAATTCAATTATAATAATACGATTTGAGAAACATCTGTATTTTTTTTTGTAACTGTAAGAGTCTTAACAATCAACCATGAACAGCGATTGTTTAAACTAAAAAGTTTACATTATAGTATTTAATTATTGTTATTTGTAGCGTTAACATTTTAATGGCGCAATTCAGTCAGGCATACCTTCCACTGTAGTGTGAGGGAGCTCTTGCTGCGATGGGACAGTCTGGGAGGAAGAGGGATATCAGGAGGGGCACATTGGGTAGTGAAGGCCCTCACATCCGAACTGGGACCCTTTACTGAGTTACAAACTGTGCTTACTCTGAAAACACACACACACACATACAGACAGACAGACAGACAGACAGACAGACAGACAGACATACAGACATACAGACAGACAGACAGACAGACAGACAGTTTTGTTTTTATGAATTGGGGGACATTATAAAGGTTTCTATTGCTTTTATACTGTTCAAAAAGTATAATTGATATTTCTATCACCCTACCCCTAAACTCAACCCTCACAGAAAATTGTTTTACCTGCTGAAAAAAACGAAAAACTCATTCTGTTTGATTTACAAGGTTTTTGAAAAATTAAGACTTCAGCAATGTTCTCATAATTCACCATCTTCTTGAAATACCAGTGTCAGACCTGTGTTGTTATAAAAAGTTATGTCCTGATATGTCATAAAAACACGTACACACAGTAAGAATTTCCAAATTAGAGAAAATTTAACATTTAGGAAAAAAATGTAAATCAAATGTAAGTCTCATTCATCAATGCAAGTCAAAGGCTACCAGCGCAGAGAATCAACAAAACATGAACAGGACTAAAAAGTGGTTCCTGGCGATAATATCAAATAAAGCAAAATAAATTTTTATTTTATTATTATGATATCTATAACATCACATTTATTCAACAACCGTGAAGTTCATAAGACTTCATAGTCTTATGTATATTAATTAAGTGTAGCCTATATACTGTATAAGGTTTTTTTCTTCACCAAGGAAAGAATTCTTTGGTCATCCACCACAGTTGTTTTCAGTGGTCTTTCGGGTCTTTTGGTGTTTCTGAGCTCACTGGTGCATTTCTTCTTTTTAAGAAATTTTCAAACAGCTATTTTGGCTAATGTTTTTGCTATCTCCCTGATGGGTTTATTAAGATTTTTCAGCCTAATGATGGCTTGCTTCACTGATAGTGACAGCTCTTTGGATCTCATCTTGAGAGTTGACAGCAATAGATTCTTAATGCAAATAGCACTCTTGAAATGAACTCTGGATCTTTTACCTGCTCCTTGTAATTGGAATAATGAAAGAAAAAAAACACACCTGGCTATGGTACAGCTGAGAAGCAAATTGTCCCAGTAGTTTTGCTCCCTTAACAAGTGGGAGGCACAAATCTAAACTATTGTAATTCATACACCGTTCACCTTATTTGGATGTAAATACCCTCAAATTAAAGCCGACAATCTGAAGTTAACGCACATCTTTTTTCATTGTAAATCCTTTGTGTTGATGTATAGAGCCAAAAATGTTAGAACTGTGTTGATGTCTTAATATTTAAGGACCTGACTGTGTATATACACTACCGGTGCAGAGTTTGGGGTCAAATTTTTTTTTCATGTTTTTTAAAGAAAATCATTCTGTTCATCAAGGCTTCATTTTTTAAATGTAAAAAAAAATGTTAAATTGTTAAATACTTTTAAATAACTGCTTCTTTATTGTATGTAGTTTCAAATGAAATTATTGCTCCAGTCATTACTGCTTTTATTACTATTACTATTAATAATATTTATATTATTATTATTATTAATAATAATAATAATAATAATAATAATAATAATTATACTAATAATAATAGTTACAATAATTAATATTAATTAATATTAGAGTGATTTCTGAAGGATTATGTGACTGAAGACTGGAGTAATGAAGCTGAAAATTCATCTTTAAAATCACTGGAATAAATGATTAAATTAAATTATTTATTATTTTTGAACAGTTATTTTATAGTGCAATAACATTTCACAATTTGTACTTTTGTATTCTTGATTAAATAAAGGCAGTTTTAGTGAGCCAGAGATGCTTAATTTAAAACATTTAAAAATTGTACTGACCCCAATTTTTTACAAGTTTATTATAATTTTATTATAAGTTAATTATAAAATTTTTCCCCTCAAAGAGCTGGTAGCCGCTGACATTTTAAGTCTGCAGTTGCAGCTTTAATACTGAACAAACAAAATATTCCCCTGAATATTGTATGGTATGAGGATGGATAAATTAACTAAATAATAAAATAACTTAATTAAACTTTTGAATTAAATCACTTCAAGTTAACCAATAATCCCCATTAAACACATTTATCTTTAATTTTGTCGTTCAGATATCAGTTCATTCATCTCTTTATAACACTAATGAAATGCAAAGCACTCAGTTAATGGAGAGTTTCACCTCATTTGTAAGTAGCTTTGGTTAAAAGTGTGCACTTAATGAATAAATGCAAAAGTAATGCACTAATCTCACCGGACGTGATAGTCTGTGGCTGGTCTGAGGTCAGTGAGAGTGTGCTGGAGCTCCTCGCCACTGGAACAAACACAGACAGTCTGTTTATAGAAGTGAATTACCTTTAAAAAAAAACTTCAATAATAGCCTCTGTACACTCCGAAACAAGCAGCAGTCGTACATGAGGAGCATTATCCACACGAGCAAAATGAAATTGTTATGTAACTATACAAATGAATGTAAACAAATAACTAAATTAAGGAGCAAAAAGCACATAGATCAAATAAATGATCGGTCTAGACTTTGTGCCAGAAGTGAAGAACATGATGTTTAAAAAGGCCTTACCTGTAGACAACTTTATATTTCCCATCACGACTTTTGTCCTTGAGCTGGAGCTCGTAACTACAGGATGGGACTCGTCCAGGAGACCCCGATACGGAAATTGAAGACCATGACACAAGCGCAGAATGGGACTGCAAATTAGACACCTGAGGGGTCAAAATAAAGAAATTTTTAAGAAAAACAACCACTTTTAAATTAAAATCCAATTAAATAAAATGAAAAAAATAAAAATTTATAAAAATTCATTTTTGTTGACTAAAATCTCACAGAAAAAATATATCCTTAGTTATTTTTTATTTAAATAAGAGTTAAAATAAAATAAAATAAAATTGTGGGGACTTAAAGTCTTAAAAAGTATAAAAACCACAAAAAAAGTGAATTGTGGGGACTCAAAGTCCAAAAAAAAAAGTTAAAAATAAAAATAAAACAAAATTAAATTAAATTGTGGGGACTCAAAGGCTTAAAAAAATTAATAAATAAAATAAAACAGTGAATTGTGGAGACTCAAAGTCCTTAAAAAAACTATTAATAAAAAATAAACCATAAACTGTGGGGACTCAAGGGAAACAAGTATAAGTATAATTTTATTTTTTTTAAGAGTTTAATTTAAAATTTTATATAAGGGACTAGAAGAAGATTAAACTTTAATAAAAAAAAAAAACTCAATCGTACAAAATAAAGCAAATTCCTTTTTTTTTTTTTTTTAAACTAATTTATTAAAATATATATATATATTTTTTAAAATAAGTCTTTTCGGCGTGATGTTTCAATGCAACAAATGCCAAGAAAAGGTTTACTCAAATAATGTATTCTTCACAATTGTATTTAGCAATTCTTAAAGACTTCCTCTTTCTGCACTTTCAAAATAATCAACAAACTTTTGAATAAAACTTAACATTAAAATACAATTAACATTATTTTTGTTTATGGGAGATATTAAGGACACTGTCCCCATAGGTGACCAATATTTGTGTAAGATTCCTCTTGTGACATGCAAAATAGACTATAACAAGGAACTGCCTTGAAGACTCAACGTTGAAACATAAGCAGTGGTTTGAGATAATTGAAGAAATTTGAGTGGAAAAGTGACATTTATGTTCAGGATAAAACTGACATTTTCAGGAAGAGTAGGGAAAATGGTTGATCTATAGGTAATATAAAGACATCCCCATTTAAGTGAATTGTAATTCGAAGAGATATAGCAATCGTACACATTTGGCTTTTTTCCCCCCTCTTACTCTATATGCAAGATTATGTCATGTATATACACTCACTGGCCAGGTACACCTTACATGGTACACCTGTGCAACTGCTAGTTAATGCAAATTTAATCAGTCAATTACATGACAGCAACTCAATGCATTTAGGGACGATCATAACAATCTGCGGCAGTTCAAACTAAGCATCAAAATGGGGAAGAAAGGTAATTTTATAAAATGTGAATCATCTCAGACAGGTTTCTTGAACATGACAATGAGTTCACTGTACTCAAATGGCCTCCACAGTCACCAGCTCTCAATCCAATAGAGCACCTTTGGGATGTGGTGGAAATTCGCATCATGAATGTGCAGCCGACAAATATGCAACAACTGCGTGATGTTATCATGAAAATATGGACCAAAATCTCTGAGGAATATTTCTAGTACCTTATTGAAACTATACCACGAAGGATTAAGGCAGTTCTGAAGGCAAAAGGTGGCTCAACCTGGTACTAGTGAGGAGTACCTAATAAAGTGGCCAGTAAGTGTATATATATTTAAATCAGAATTTTAAAAAGGTAGTTCAACAACGGCGAAACATACTACATTAGACAGCTGAGAAACCACAGACTGAAGAAACACAGATTTAAGTTGTTATAAAACATAAACGAAAAAAGCAATACCAGTTAAACTAAAGCAATTTTCATTAAAAAAACCCTGGGAGAAGATGAACGCAAATAACAGGGAAACCACTAAAGACGGCAGACCGTTTGAATTCTAATTTATGATGTCTCTCCGGTACATCAATAAACGTAGGCAGCTGTAAATAGAAGTTCATTCGGGTGCCAAGGCTACAGCAGGCTCGTCCTCAGTGAATGAAGCATGACGAGTCATTCACAAAACAAAAAACATCTGTGTCTGAAGACGCTTCAGCCATCGCAAACCAGACTATTTACATGACACTTCCTCGTCTGCATCCAAACGAAGCCATTTTGAGTTAGCGGCAAATGAAAGAAAGACCTACGAGGAGGAGTATCTTCTTCACAAACATCTTTGAGCAAGATGATCATGACGAAAGACTCTGCAAAAAAAGCTTCATTTATCAAACTGGAACGCCACTGTGCCAATCAGCAGAGTACGAAACCAAAACAGCTTCTTCTGCGGAATATAAATGAGCTTTTAAGGGTGGGAGAATAACAGAAAGAAGCACAACTAAAGCTGCTTAGCCTGTTAGATTTATTACACTCGAAAACACAATACAACTATAAAAACAAAGGAAAATTACTCAATAAATTAATATATGTATATCATCTTTACAGTTAAGTCAGAATTAGTAGCCCCCCCTTTATATCCCCCCCACCCCACAATTTTCTATTGAAGGGAGATTTGTTTCAACACATTTCTAAAGATAATTGTTTTAATAACCAATTTTTAATAATGATTTTTTTTATCTTTGCCATGATGACAGTACATAATATTTTACTAGATATTTATCAAGACACTGGTATTCAGCTTAAAGTGACATTTAATGGGCACCTATGATGAAAATGAACTCGTGTAAGCTGTTTGGAGAGAACTGTGTGTAAGTATAGTGAATCCACAGTCATATTAGAGTGATAGAAACACAATAAGTTAAATTTTTTAATTTCCTGACGTTAAAACACAATCAATTCCAGTGATTTGGAGGCCCACCACAAAGTGACATTGGAGTATGGTTTCCCCACCCATTGAATTAATTGAAAGGTACACTGTTTCTATAATAAAATGTATACACATGTCCACGGAACATTTATTGGCAAAGAAACTGGGATAAAAATATCTGTTCTAACTCAGCTTATTTGCATTTAAAGCTACAGGCTACCACACCAAAATGGGAAGATTCTATGTTATAACAAATAGTATTTTGAGCTGAAACTTTACAGACACATTCTCGAGACACCAAAAGCTTGTCTTACATCTTGTAAAAAGGGTAACATAGATGCCCTTTAGGCTTAGTTAGGGTAATTATGCAAGTTAGGGTAATTAGGCAAGTGATTGTACAACGATGGTTTGTTCTGTAGACAATTAAATAAAAATAGTGCTTAAGGGGGCTAGTAATATTGACCTTAAAATTATTTAAAAAAATTATTCTAGCTGAAAAAAACAAATAAGATTTTCTACAGAAAAAAAAAATTATAGGAAATACTGTGAAAATGTCCTTGCTCTGTTAAACAAATCATTTGGAAAATGTTTGGAAAAAGAAAAAAAGAAAAAAGCAACCACAACATGAATGATAAAAATGGAAATAATTGAATGTATATGTAATGTCAATGTCAATTTCATTTATATAGCACTATTAAACACAACCAAAGGTTGACCAATGTGAAATTTTCACTAATAAAATGGCAAATCAAAGAGGTAAGTTTTCAACCTAGATTTAAAAACAGAGATGATACAGAGGGGCAGAGCATTCCACAATCTAAGATCAGCTACTGCGAAAGCATGGTCACCCCTGCACTTCAGCCTTGACTTAGGAATGCATAATAATCTCTGGTTTAATGACCGAGGAGACCAATCAGGCTGATGTTTAGTCAACAGATCTGACAGATAACAAGGTGCCAAGCCATTTAGTAATATAAAATCCATGAGAAGGATTTTAAAAGTGACATGATAGTGCACAGGCAACCAGTGCAAAGAACATAAGACTGGTGTGATGTGGTCATGATTTTTGGTACCGCTTAAAAGCCTTGCAGCAGCATTTTGAACTAACTGAAGACAGGATATTTGTAAGACTAATCCCAAAATGTAGTAAGTTACAATGAATAATTTTTTCAATTTTTTTGCTAGAATAGGTTTGACTGTTGTTAAGAGTCGAAACTAAAAAGCAGGATTTGACCACTGCATTTATCTGTTTATCAAAACTCAAGCCATCATCAAAAATAACACCCAGATTTTTCTATCTTAGTGAACATAAATATACATAAGCAAAATTATTTGAATACAATTCAATCAAATCAATCCAACATTACAAGCAGGCAATTCATTCGTAATAAAAACTACTACTTGGATCTGGAAGACAAAGAGCTCAAATAAAAAGATTGGATTCTTTTCCTGTGCTAATGTTCTGACACACTCTTATCAGTTGTTTACTTCTATTTGCTATTTATTTTTCTACAGTACAGTTCACTGCGTTTCTGCAGGGGTCAGATTGACCTTGTACAGAAAAACATTACTATACTGAAGAAATGGTGTTTGTCTGAGAAATGGTTGATTGCTTTGTGACAAGAAAAATGAGTTAAATTGTAAACTACTTTAATAAGACTAGGTTAGAGGAACATGGAGGCAATAAAGACAAATAGCTTTATACAAAAATAGAGGCTTGGGGTAAAAATATATAAATGTAAATTAACTGCACTAAATACACATCCACCTAAAGTGCACCTGAATGACGCTGGATATTTCATCACAACTAATTACTTTTTTTCGGGCTTCATTTTTTGTAATTCCTTTTGTCTGTTTGCTCTCAACATGGATATACTGGAGTTTCACAGTAATGCAGTTCATTGCTATTCTAAATGTTTAAAAAGCAGATGTCCTAATGTATTTTAATTTAGATGATCAGATTTCTTTATAATAATAATAATAATAATAATAATAATAATAATAATAATAATAATAATAATAGTAAAAATCTAAACTCAATTATTATTGAAATTTCTATTCATATTTGCGTTTGCACTCATTAAATTTCCTATTGTTCAAAATATTTTAACTTTAAAATAAATATATCAGTAGTGCCACAAAGGTGTCTGGGAAAAATGAGCAAAACAAGGAGATGCCAAAACATTCAAATGTTGAAATGATTTCTCAAAGTGGAATATATACATACTGGGTACAGTCAACAAAACACTCCTCTCTGTATTATATTCTCTGCTAACAGAGACGTTTTAAATCACTTATCAAAGGGCATTCTTGAGGTAAATGTAATGTTAACTTTATGTGTCCAAACTACACACAATGCAGCACTGTGACACAATAAAAGCTATCCTTTTCATGTTAAAATCAGTGAAATTGCAACAGTGAAGTGCAAAGTATCTATTTTTTAAAACACTTTCTTTGCTCTGGGGATGAAAAAAAATGTTTCAAAGACATGTAAACCCGACTTGGGTCTCATCTAGTAATCAGATTATCACAGAGAAACCTAGACTCTTTTGACTTCGAAATTACCTAGAAAAAATTAAGAATACCCTACCCTAACTTTATATCCGCTTTTTAAAGATTTTTAATGCATTATTAAAATGAAAATGAAGTTCAGTTATCTCTTGTTAATGTTACTACTGTAATAAATGTATTGTTCATTGTTTATTGTTCATTGTTCATGCTCATAAATACATAAAAAATAATATATTATTACAACCTTATTCTAAACTGTTACCATAAAAGTAAAAACAGACCAAAATGTTTTGGAAACATTCTGATCAAAAAGTCAGGAAACTAAAGCTAAAATTCTGAACCGTCTAGGGATAACAGCAAGTGTGGTCAATCAAGTGTATATATTCATAGCCTATCTACCATTTTACTATTATAACATACTTATTTTAATGTTTTAAATAAATTCCATCTTCAATTCATTCTAATGATATTCAGATATATTATAAATACTGCAAATACCTGTATGTCACTGTCATATTTTTTTAACTGAAGGTTATTTCTGCTTTAAATAAAAGACACTGTTAATTCAATCAATGTATATACAGTCTAAATAATTTCAATTCCTGCAAAATAACATCCTATTTTGAACATGTGTGATGTATTCTTACTGAATGAATGTCCTGAAGATTACATAATAGTGCAGCAGGGAGTTGAAAAACATATTGATGTGAGTAATCAATGATGGACTGATGAAGAACTGCTGCCCTCTCCTGAACATTAATGGAAGTGCTTCACTCTGAACGCATCTAAAAACCATCCTCACATTTCTCTCGTCCTGAGTGCTCCACATGTGTGAAGCAGGTATTGGCAGTTATGATGTTGCAAAGGTATTCTTGATGATTGCTAGGGGATTCTCTATAATAATCAGATTACTAGATAAGTCTGGACTGGTGAAGATACATGTCTTATGTCTGAAATTATTTTTCATTCCCAGAGTAAAGAATAGTAAATTCTAAATAACTATTTTATTGTATTTCTTCTTCTTCTTCTTAATAATAATAATAATAATATTAATAATAATAAATACTATCATAAATATATATATATATATATATATATATATATATATATATATATATATATATATATATATATATATATGATTTTCTATGACTGATCTGAAATAATACTAAACAAAAAAATATTAATATTATTATTATTATTAATAATGATGATAATAAATATAATCTAATCTCTAAAAATTATTACAAATAATAATAATAATAATCTGAACCAAATTCATATTGATTTCTATTGATACTTATTAAATAAGTAATAAAGTATCATATTGATACTTATTCATTTTTTATTGTTCAAAATATTTTTAAAATAAATAAATCAGTAGTGCAACAAATGTGTCTGTTGAAGAATGTTCAAAAGAAGATGCCAAAAAAAAAGAAAAATCAAACATTTTTTTTTTTAACATAATGCTGCAAAATTTTTAAATATAAATAGTGTTTTTTTTTTAAACGTTAACCAATTTGTTCATATTCCCAATGCAATGTCATGTAATATTTGCCTCAGCAAGCCATAAAATATTTATGAGGTGATAATCCTGCAGGACAAATAAAACAATCCCAACCAGAAGCATGAAATTAAAACGTGAGTGTTTGCTAGATTCGCTGGATCGTCTTGTTGTAGAGAAGATTTCCGAGACGGGGCTTTTTTTGGCTTATTATTATTATTTTTTAAATCACCCACCTGAGGCTTGTCCATTCCTGATGGCACAGCCTGAACTCGTCTCGCTTCCACATCGTGATCTGCACACAAAACACATGAAATGCAGCCGATCAGTCATAAATCATTTCATGTGTGTCTGTGTGAGTGTGTCTAACATCTTCATGCAGCTTTAGAAAGAGACAGAAAGACAGAGCACACAAAATGAGCATCAGCAGATCTGGGGCATTATCTGATGGATGCTTCATAGGTCTGGCTGTTACAGGGCCCGAGGGGCTCCTGCAATGAGTCATGATCCCTGCAATGAAGTCAACACGACCCCAAACTGACCTCCAGGGTTTTCCCCCCAAAACAAGATGCTGCTGGGATTGAGAGATGGAGGATGTTTTCAGTGGAATCTTGATTTTAATTGAGGTAGGACGAGGGGAAGGATGGAAAAAGTGAGAGACTCCGAGCCATGTATGGATTAAAAATGAGACAAAATAGGGTCAGAGTGGTCCTGAATTACTCATCGGATATGAATGAGTCATGATAGCATTGAAAAACAATTTGAAGTAAAACACGGTGAAACTGCAGATTATATTTATCAGTAAAAAGCTTTGAACAGTAATAAAGGTTAATCAATGAAAACAATTCTGCTAACATTTTTTTCCCAAAACAACAACTTCACATGTGACCATTTAGAAATAAATAATTATTAAAAGATAAACGTGACACTTTAAATGACATATTAAATGATTTAACGTGCTAGTGTTTGTAAAAAATTCTGAATAATTTAGCAGAACAATAACATTATTTGCACACCTACACTACCTGACAGAAGTCTTGTCGTGGATCTCAGTTGTAAGAGCAACAAATAATAACTTGATTTCTAGGTGATCATTTGGAAAAGTAGCAGAAGGTAGATTTTTCTGAAGAATCATCTGTTAAACTGCATCCCAATCATCACAAATACTGCAGAAGACTTATTGGAACCAGCATGGACCCAAGATTCTCACAGAAATCAGTCAAGTTTGGTGAAGGAAAAATCATGGTTTGGGGTTACATTCAGTATGGGGGTGTGCAAAAGATCTGCAGAGTGGATGGCAACATCAACAGCCTGAGGTATCAAGACATTTGTGCTGCCCATTACATTACAAACCACAGGAAAGGGCAAATTCTCTAACAGGATAGCGCTCCTCCTCATACTTCAACCTCCACACCAAAGTTCCTGAAAGCAAATAAGATCAAGGTGCTGCAGGATTGGCCAACCCAGTCACCAGACAAGAACATTATTGAGCATGTCTGGGTTAAGATAAGGAGACATTGAAAAAGAATCTTGATTTTTTTTTTTCTTCACTCTCCTATTGGTGAAGGTTTTTTTCCCTCTCCGCTGTCGCCACTGGCCTGCATGGTTCAGGATCTGAAAAGCTACTCATCGATGAATTTGCTCTTCAGTGTTTGGACTCTCAATAATGACTTCAAACCACACTGAACTAATCTGAACTGAACTTAAAAACTAAAAACTGAACTACCCTGATCCAGTTACTATGGCCATTTATGTGAAGCTGCTTTGACACAATCTTCATTGTAAAAGCGCTATACAAATAAAGCTAAATTGAATTGAATTGATGAACTCTGGGAGTCCTGCAAGAACGCATCCTTTGCCATTCCTTTTGCCTCCTTTATTAATAAGTTATTTGAGTCATTGCAGAGATGTATGGATGCAGTATGGATGCAGTCCTACAAGCTCATACACAATATTAATTCTTTTTCCACTGCACCATGACTTTATATTCTATACTCTACATTATTTCTGTTAAATGACAAGACATTTTGTATAAGCAAAGTCAGACCTTACTGTCCTAATGAAATAATTAAAAATCAAGGCGTGATCATATTTTTCTTTGGTAACATATGCGTAATCTAGTGGCCTTCGCTTTCATATATGCCACTTCTGATACCAAATGATCAACTAGAAGTCAAGTTATTATTTTTTGTTCCTAAAACTTCGATAGCCTGACAAGACTTTAGTCAGGTAGTGTATACATATAGATCCAGTTTGTTTGAATATTTCATTCAAAGAATAATACTTAAAAAAATATTAAGCATAATTCTCTGCAAAAAAAAAAAAAAAAAAAAAAAACACTGTTCAATCACAAAAAAAAACATTTTAAAAGACATTTTAAAATATTTTTAAATAAAAAGGATGTTTGAATGGACTGGTCTTTCATTGCTATTATTTTATGTCTTTTAAATTATTTTACTTTTTTATTATCATTTATATAAAAATTATTATAGATTGTTTAAATGTTTTTGTTCTGTTTTGTGCGTATAAAAATATAAAATTACAATTATTTTATAACAAGAAAAATAAAACAAAACTGCTTTTTAAAATTCTTATAATATTATTACATTTTTTAAATAACATGAGAGATTGATCATGATCATAAAAGACAAAAAAACCCTACTTTTTCAAAATAATAACTTGACACAAAAATAAATGAACAGTTCAACTTCAATATACCAAAGACAGCTGAAGACTGAAAACCAAGTTTAACCTTCTGACGTCATTTATTTCAGCCAGAACTGAGCGTCTTCTCTGACTGTCCACATCTCATCTCTCAGTTAATGTGCCATGGCTTTTCTCTGTGCATTTCACCAAGGAGAAGCCCTGTGCTGTCACAGCAGACAGGAAAAGATCTGGCTCTCATTATGTGCTGCGGTTTTGCCACAGACACACTACAGACACACACGCACACACAGAGGCATGGGAACCGATCGTTCACGAGAACAAAGAGCAGAGTAAGATAAGACATTAAAGAACAAAGAGGAAAAGAGTGAGACAGACTGAGTCGTTTTCAAAGGAATGATGAAAGAAAAGGAAAGGATGATATGGAGAATATGGAATCTGCTGCATCTGATGCAACATGTGGTCCACAATTATCCACCAACTGATCCCAGAACAGATCAGCCGGAGACCCTCAGCGGTGCAGAATTCACAATGGAACACTGTATACTACATACTTCAACTAAATATTGTACAGTAGACATTTTTAATTAACACTGTATTCTATACACTTGACTGAATAATCGTATACTGCATGCTTTATGAATATTGTATACTACATACTTCAAATTACTATAGTAGACTACACAGTACATACTTTAAATGACCACTGCATTCTTAATACTTTAAATGAACACCATACTACTTATTTCAAATGAAACATGTATACTACTACTTACTTCAAATAAATCCTGTACACTACATTATTCCAATGAAAATTCATATTGTATAGTAGATACTTCCATTACAATTATATTCCTCATACATCAATGAATACTCAGTGCAGCATGCTTTTATAAGTATAGCATACTACACACTGAGAATTTACAATGTTGAATATACACTTAAATTAATACTGACTGCATTCTACATACTTTAAATAAACACCCATACTACATGCTTTAAATTAATACTGTATACCACATACTTCAAATGAATCCTGTAAACTACAAACTTATAATATTCATAGTGTATAGTAGCTACTTCAATTAACCTTGTATTCTACATGCATCAATGAACGCTGCATGCTTCCATAAATATTGCACACTACATTCTTATAATTAACATTGTTGACTAGACACTTTAAATGTGTGTTAAATTTATTAAACTGGAGCTTTTATGAATATTACACTACATACTTGAAATGAACATTGTATTCTATTGTATAAATCAAGTGATTACTGCATACTACATACAAATAAATATACCACATGCTTCTGTGAACACTAAATACTTCAAATGAACAATAAGACTGAATTACTAAAATGGTTTGCATATTTATTATATTAAAAAATAATTATTCAAATGAGGCTATTGATTTTTATGAAAACCCTGTTTTTTTTTTAAATAGGATTTTTTCATTAATAAATACATTTTTCATAACAATACTGTCACTTTTGATCACTGTACCATGTCCACGTTTTTTTCCTGTATTATTATACTGTCACTTCTGATCACTTTAACATGTTCAAACTTGAAAAGCAAGTAAAAGTATAGCATTAAAAGGGAATACGCGATAGAATGCCCGTGTCACTGAAGCGGCTTCCTGTATTACTCCAGAAGTGGGCGCTCCTCCATATCCCTACAGTACTTGCTTCATGCACGATTTACTGTATCCAAAGTGTGTCACACTAAAGAGTAAGTGCTGACACTGATATAACAGCTCAAAAACAAAGACTTTGTCAACTCATAAAGCTTCGTGGCTTTAAAGTGAACAGATGTGCATAAGACTGTTGACTCATCATGAAGAGTCAACAGATCTGCCGGATTTAACTTGTGTCCAGCTGGAAATATCCTTTGTTTTTGCACTCAGTTGATGTAAAACATACTAAAATACCACAGATATTCAAGAACATGTAGGAATAGGTCAAGTAAAAATTAGTGCTGGACAAGGAATAATCACAATTAATCACACTCAAAATAAATGTATTGAAATGTATATGGGACACACACACATATATAGAAACAAACAATACAAACAACAATTTTGTTACATAGATATTTAAATTTATATATAATTTATATCATATACATTTATATTTTATATTTAAATTTGAATTTAAAAAAATCTTAAATATATGGATGCATGTGTGTATTTATGTATACATTATAAATACACACTGTATACACATACATTATTTCAAAAATTTTTTTTGATTAATCTTGATGAATTTGGCCCAGCTCTACTTAAAATTAAAACTTACAATTTACATGCCCTTATGGGGTTCCAAACCTTTTATGACTTTTCTTTGGAAATTACCGAAATTATTCTTTATGGAATACCGAGAAACATATTTTGAAGATTTTTGAGGATCGGTAGCCATTGACATCCACAGAAGGAAAAAGAAATAGTCAATGGCATTTTAAAAATATGATCTTTTGTGTTCAACATACGTTTGTAAGCACAAGGAAAGAGAGTAAATTATGACAATTTTCATTTTTAAGTGAACAATTTTTTTTTTAGAGATGTTTTTTTGAGGGGGCTCACCTTGTGTTTCGGTGTCTGTGTGTTTGGGGCTTCCTCTGGCTCTTCTCTCTGGCCTCTTGTTGCCTGGGCTTCCTCCTACTCCTCCTCCTCCTCCAGGGCTGCCGTGACTCTTGCCGTAGCCATTAGCGGTGGTTGTTGTGCTGTTTTTGTAGCTGTTGGACACTGGGATGTTCATCTGACTGAGAGGCGTGCGCTCCACAGGCTGCTTCAGCTTCTTGGGTGGAGGTTTGCAGTACTCCTCATGTCCCATGAAAGTGGAGACGTTGTATAGCGGGATGATCTCTAAGATGAGACACAGATCATAATTACATGACAGAAGTAACAGTAGATGTGTAACAAAGCAAAAAGTGCTACAATGTGTATACACACACACACACACACACACACACACACACACATATATATATACATATATATATATATATATATATATATATATATATATATGGGTTAAAAAAAGTATTCGACAGGTCATGTTTTTTTTTTTTTCGGGGAAAAATATTCTAAAGAAGCTGTTAACATGGAATTGATCCAGATTTTGGTAAAAACCCAAACAATACAAACTTAAAAATATAACCAGAGAAAAAATCTGAAACAATTGTTGTATGTAATAAAAATGAAATGACACAAGGAGAATGTACTGAACTACTTGCATTTAATACTTTTTTTAAAAGCTGTTTTGGTGATAGCAGCTTAAAGATGCTTCTCATACGGAGAATGAAACCACGCATTGCTCAGGTGAGATTTTTTTCACAGATTTTGACAGAGTGTAAAAATTTTGATAGTTCTGTGAGTTTTGTCAGTCAAATCTGATCTTTAGTTTGTATTTTCTATTGAATACAAGTCAGGAGATTGGCTGGGCCATTCCATAGCTTGATTTTCTTTCTCTGAAAATATTTGAGTTTTCTTGGCAATGTTTTGGATCATTGTCTTGCTGAAATGTCCACGCTGGTTTTATCTTCATAATCCTGCTAATGTAGATGTTGGACTGAAGCAGCTAATATTCATTTACAATGAGGAGGGGCAGAGGGTTGCTGAAGAACTACTGAGAGAGTTCAGCTGCTGTCTGGGCTTTCACTGCACTGCTACACCTCCCTTTATTTATGTGTTCAATACTTTTTCCCTGTGTCATTTCATTTTATTGCACATAACTTCATTTGTAAACTAACTAATATTGTTTACTTAGCATATATGGATTTCTTTGGGTGATACCAACATCTGGTGAAAATTTCAAGTCAACAGCACCTTTAGAAATATGTTTACTGAGAAAAATGGTGAAGTGTTCAATACTTATTTCCCCCACTGTACACGCACGCATGCACTCACACAAACACAATTTTCTTTTCTTTCAAACTTATTTACCTTATTAATACTTAATTAATATTAACTTAAATTTTGTAGCTTAAAATAGTAGTACAAAAAGTATATATTACACCACAATTAGATACGTTTATATAATTACAAAACAACAAATTATATTACAGAAATTAAAAAAAATTATATATTAAACAAATATTATAAAATACAATATCTTTAAATGGTCACAAAACACCAAAACACATTTTTTTGAGATGCTGACTCATATATGAGCACAACGCTGCTAAAAACACTATAGGGACACATATATTTTACAAAAAAAAAGTGAAAATTGTTTGTTTTTGAGTATTTGAGCAAATTCGTTCTTCCGGTTTGAATTTTTTTTTTAAGCGGCATCACGGCGATTAGGTGCTTGTGTGTATTCCAGTGTGTAGACTGGATGTCAGTATCAGCAGGTACAACATGAGCATCTTTTCAGCATTAATTCATGAGAAAGACTTTCAAGTCTTTCCAGACCGCCAATCAATGAGCTCTATTGTGTATGAGGTGCAACTTCATTAATATGCATAATAACTTTAAAGTTTTTACCTGTTACAGTGTTCAGACGACAGAGAGACGCCACGTTTTTGCCAACCGTAATTAAAACAAGTGTAAGAATAAGAATTGTTCAGAGACAGGGGTCGTCAGTGCTGCATTTACAAATGTGCTGCTAGGAAGGTTTTGTTTTCAATTCCTCGCTATGAGAGCGCAGTTAGATTTACGTGGGGATTACAGTAGTGTGCTAACACGCGACAAAAATACATTTGTAAGGAACATTTTTTTGTACCCGAGAGCTTTTCACATCTGGAAATGGTGAAATCCTCTTTAAAATCAATTTAAAATGTTTTTCTTGCATTAAAAGGAAATGCTAGTTTTGTAAAGACTAAATACTGTAGAAAAAAGGGCTAAAAAAAAGTTTATATGCTTATACTCTGTACATTAAAATATAATAATTTATATAAAATAACAATTAAGAAACATAATATTACATTTTATAAATGGTGTACACATTGCATTAATCTACAAAAAAAAAACAAAAAAAAAATCAGTACATAATCAAAAATCTATATAACGATGAGAAACCTTCCCTCAAACATGTGCCTACTGTTCTCTGACAGTGTAGGTCCGGACAGCTTGTTGTTTTTATAGCTTTGTGTGGTATTTCACTTTCATGTTGTGCTTGTTTAGCACACAGTTAAGCTTTGACACAAAGACACAGCAGCCCATCCTCACTAAAGTATGCTGAACTAGCTGAATAAGACCAAGAGCTTTTACATCTGAAGCTTTACCTTCTGGGTATATGGGTGGAAGCCGATGTTGGTAAAACTGGTGTGGCACGTCACCGGGGCTGACCGGAGGATAGTATGACGTGTGTGAGGCCGGGATAAAGTGAGGGTGCGTCAGGTATGGAGGATGAATGTGGTGACTGGGGGATAAAGCTGGAGAGTAACTGGGAGGATAACATTCAGAATGAGGTGTGACGACAACCCTCCGCACGCCGGTGTTGTCCTCCAGAACCTGAAAACATAAATTAAAACAAACAATATTTCATAAAAGATTGCAGTTTCAATAAAAATTGCCAACATTCCCATACAAGAGCATCCACTGTGAAAAAAGACATGTCAGAGTAGTTGGCAGTTCATTCCGCTGTGGTGACCTCTAATAAATTACAGACGAAGCTGAAGGAAAATTAATAAAATAATAAGAATTCCCGTACATTGTTAAAAATAATTGAACCAATTAAAGAGACAAAAATAAATCAATTTAAAATAAAGAGACAGTCACCCACAATATCTTTTTCCTCATTTCGTCACATGTTTCATTTCTAAACATTTATGACTTTCCTTCTTCTGAACAAAAGCAGATATTTTGAAGAATGCTGGGGGGAAAAGCGGATGTTGACATCCATAGTAGGAACACAATCAACTATGGACATCAATGGCTGTTTTTCAAAAACATTCTTCAGAAAATTTTCCTTTGCGTACAACAGAAGAAAGAAACTCAAACAGGTTTAGAACAAGTGAAGACTGAGTAAATGATTTTCTGAACTATCCCTTTAACTCAATTCAAGTTTATTTGTTTAGGGGTTTTCACAATAGTTATCGTTTCAAAGCAGCTTGTTCAAAGGTTATTGCATTACAACCAAAATCAGAAAAGCTATAAGGTCATTAGCTACCATAACTTTATTAGTTACTAATAACTTGAACTAATTAACTAGTAACTAAAAGCTTTTAGATAAAGTTATTATATATAGTAGTTGACCTCCAGTTGCAACATGCATCCGTGTGCCTTGTATTAATACCCCTGAGTTTGTTTAGTCCCTTGTCCGGTATTACATTGCAAAACACCCCTGTCAGCTTTTGGATGTTCTTGTTGAGTTTTGTTTCTAGTTCCTTGTAAGTGTAAAGATTGTAAATAAATATGTGGTTTTGATAACTCCTGTGATCCAGTGTGCCTCTTTATAGAGTGAAAGTGTAACACCGGCCAACTAAACCACGCCTAGGCATGATTCAGAGCACTCACACTTGTCAAACAAACCAGAAAACGCACCCGGGCATGGTTTATATAGCATACTGTGAGTGCTCTCTCAAAGATAGCCATAAAATGACTGCTGTTATTAACATAATAAACCAGATGCTTTTTTTTATTAATTTATTAATAAATATTATTAATATTTTTTTTCCCTTTTTTTACATTAGTGGTCAGGCATGTTGCTGCTTTATTCAGAGAAATTTTGCATACCCCTTCTTTGTAGTGTGGTCCTGCAAAATTTTGTTTGTTTGTTTGGAAGGCTGTATGGCCCTTTCCTTTACCCCAGCAACTTCAACCAAAAGACAATTGGGACACCACAACCCCTTCATGTGAACATGTAAAACAGAAGAGTAGGGGGAAATGGAAAGAAGGGGTAGAATTGGAATTGGGCCGTGATCTTTTTTCCAGACTTGCATACAAACTCCATTCAGCGAAGCATTAAGCAAGGAAAAAGAGAAGGTGAAGACTGACAATGTATACACTATACTGACAGCACATACACAAGCACTTATAGAAAAACACAATATATTCAGTACTAATGTAAACCAGTTAAGCAAATATTGGCATTCCTTCATTTCATACTTCTGAATTTCCATGATGTTCTGTGATATGCATGATTTCAGAAACATGAATCTGCTACTGTGACAGACAGAACAGCTCACTGTTTGTGATGACCGAAGAAAACCGAAGAAAATATTTAGTATTTTGCTGCAAATAATAGCTTTCAGAAATGTTTAGATGGTATTTTCTTTATGGATTATCACCATATAATTTTAGTTTTATTTTACTTAAAAATTTAAGATACAGCATAGGAATCTGAATTAAAAAACACACACACACAAAAAAAATACACATCATTTTCAGTTTTGTCCTTAATTTTATAATGGCAAAGATGGCAACCCTAATCTTGTTTTAAATACCCTCAAATTTTTAATTATAAATGATTGGGATTTGCATATGTATATTATACCTTCGACAAATCATTAATTTTCTTTTGACATTCATTCATTTTCCTTCCGTCCCTTATTTACCAGAGGTCACCAGAGCGGGATAACCCGCCAACTATTCCAGCATATGTTTTACACAACGGATGCCCTTCCAGCCACAACCCAGTACTGGGAAACACCCATACACTCACAAGCACACACACATACACTAAGGACAATTTAGGGTGCTTTCACAACTAGATGCATGTTTCGGAACCTGGTGCATTTCCCCCATCATATGTAAATCAAGCAATCACATTCTGATCCACACCAACATCACCAGGTTTCCGCTTGATCAAAACAAACCGTGAATTGGATCAACTGTAGTGATAAAGCAACATGATCCAACAAAACTAATGAACCAGGCCATATCAGAGTGTATTATGAATAACAGACATATATACAGCTTAATGACTTATAAGTAGGGTGAGATGTCATCATTCCTACCAAGTAAATGCGCATTTCATGTCGAATACGAAAGTGAAAGCATGATGAAATATTAACTGTCATTTATCTGTTAGGATAATTGACCGAAATTAGAATATGACATTTTTTCCTACATTTTAGGGTCATAATAACATCTCGAAAGAAAGATTAACCTTGATCTGCTTCATGATTTGGTGACGATGTCTTTGGGTGTCACCATTCAAATTGAAATCGCACCTTTTCGCTTATAATATCTCATTTCTCATTATCATATCTTTGGTGACTGAAAAATAAACCCTTTAACTCCGACCAACGTGAGGAGAGTTCACTTGCACATCACTTTTAACTATTTTACTATTTTGGTCTGTTTAGAAACTTTGTCGTGTGAAAGTGAACAGCACCAAGAACAAAAATAAACATTGCATCAATTTAATCCTTGTTTCAGAACAAAACAAGTGATTTACAGGTGTGAAAGCACCCTTTGTTTATTCAATTCACTTGCACCGCATGTTTTACACAAGCAACATTCTTGCTGTGAGTGGACAGTGCAAACCACTGAGCCGCAGTGCCACCTTGAATGTTTGTTGGGGAGGGGGGTTATCCCTATTCTATAAAACAAAACTGTATTTTGGATTAACAGTATTCAAAATAAATTCAAAATAATGAACTTAACAAAACATGTTTGTATACCGCATATTATTTAGTTAAGTTGTCTAAGTTATCAGAACCATAGGAGAATCATGGAAGAACTGTGATCTATTTTAAACAAAAAATAACAATAATCATGATTCATCCAGAATCAAGCAGCTCTAAACAATTCTCAAGCTAGTCCCATTAGTGCTTGACTCGACAAATAATACAGGCCGTCTCCAAATCCAACGTGCCGGCAGTTACGAGGCAACCACAGACGTTCGGTGCCACTTTAAACAAAGGGCAGGAATGCAAAAGTAAACAAGGCCTTTTTAATGGAACGGGAATCAAATGCATTCCAGTGGAGGAATGTGTGCATGGAAGATGAAGATTCTGTTCAGCTCGCTTGGGAGAAACCAACTCACTGACCTCAAATCCTGAAGTCAACCCAGTTAAAAGTTGTGGTCAATACAGTGACGACAGCAGAAAATTAACTTTGTATATTAAAAAAATAAATAAAAAAAGATTTTAAATGGAAAACAAAGATATGCTCTGCAAGACCTGGAAAATCAAGATAGTCCTGGTTCAAATAGTGAGTTAATCAAATATCAGTGGAATCAGTGTTTCCTATCAAAAAAAATAAAGCCAGATCAGATCTTTTGATATGCATCAAATAAAAATATTTAATAAGCATCAAAATAATTTGCTGGTAGGCCTGTCATAATATCTTTTTTTTGTTGTGTGATATATTGCACCAAAATATATTGCGTTAAATGATATTACTGTCATTTTAAGACCATTTTATGCCACTCATTATATTATGCCAGAATTACTGAATATAATATCATCACAATGCAAGTTTACTCTTGCAAAGCACAAATCATATTTTATTCTTAGAAATACTTCATTCAATTATAGTTATTTTAGTAATTTAATAATTAGGTAGTAGAATCAGAAAACGCATATACCTAAATAAATAATATATGTTAACAAAAAAAGTGGAAGGTAAAAAGTAACTGAGGCTGCGATGTCTGCTTCCAGATCTATTTTCAGTTGTCTGACACCCACATGAAAATGCACTATAGTAATTTATAGTAAATACTACAGTGTTTTTTTTTAACCATACCGACACCGACAGCTATGATAGAGACGGAGATGATGCGCAATCAGCTGAAAGGCGTCTATAATTGTTTTATTATGTATGGGCGATATATATTGCATTAGCAAAAATGACTGAGGTCATGTCCATGAGTTGTGCGAGAAGTCGATATATTGATTATTGTGTCAGACCTACTTACTGGTCCTATATTTTTGAATAATGAATCATTTAAATAATACATTTGCAGCTTTTTTTTTTTTTTTTGCGTAGAAGCAAAGTCCCTTTAAGGCAATCATTTAACTGGGCGGCCATCTTTAAAAAGCCTCTCAGGCAGTATGCTCGGGCATTCTGTCTGAATGGTGAATCATCAAATTCTTCAAAACTGTTTGCCAAGCTTTAGATTACATTACATATTTGGCATCACGGATGAAATTAAACTACAATTGTCTTTTAAGTTTAGTTTCTAAACATCTGAATCAAACAGAATTGCCATATTTACAGGTTGCCCAAGCTAATGCGCATACACACTCAAAAGAAACGAGATCACGACACAAACCTCATCTTCAGAAGTAATCCACAACATGGTCTTGATGGCGAATCTCCCCCCAAAAATGACAGCTACTCTTTGTTTACGTGTTTGTGAGGCATTTGACTGGTTGCTGTCATGTGATGTGCATTTGACAGGATGGAATGTACCTCGTGCTTTATTTCATACAGATTACAAAACTAAAAAACGTTTGTTTTCAAGTGCACTCAGTTAATTTAATAGCACAGATTTCAATCATTATTTTGATACATTCCTCATGTCTGTGAAGCAAGTATTTGCTTCTATTCCAGTTTGTTTGTTGACCACCAAAGTGTCGTAAAAGCACACATCTCGTTCGAGCTTTTCCCCCAGAGACACTATCAGTCTATAATGATTGATGATTGACTCCTGTACTAATAGGCAGGACTTCATTCACCATATTGACCGCAACATTTTTCCCTTTTCAAAACTATACGAGTGACCTGTCTTGTGTACTCTATAGTCTTTGGTAGAAGTAAAATAAATTATGGAAAAAAAACATCCATTTATGAGGCCACGTGCTTGTGCAATAAAACCCATTTCCCATCATTTTCTGTGGAACCAGCAACAATTACACAGCAAATGGGCATTATTATCACTTCATTTTGATGCACTTCAGCTAAAAAGTTTCCATCTTGCTGGAAAGTTAAAAGAGACAAAGAAACGGGCGGCCCACCAAACATGGACCGGTCCTGCCCCTCACATTCGGGTGGAATGCACTAATAGATCATATTTACACAAGTGACCTTTGTGCCATTATAACCCCCCACTGATTTATTACACCCACAAATCAAACTCTTTCTCCTGCCCTCTCCGCTGAAGTTTTTTGACCTTTCTACTGAAATGTCACCGCAGCTGACCTTTAGTAAACTTTAGCTTGACACTGTTCAGTAAAGACGGACAACTTGGGAGTTTGCTGCTTGTGGCTCAGTTGTTTGTTTGGTTGTATACTCTGTGAGTGTGTTTCTCAGAAAGGGAAATTTCTCCTGTCAGGGCTGCAATCGCATTCTCATTGTAAAAAGAGAGCTTTTGCCACCCAGATGCACAGGACTGGCCCATTCCTGCTGGTTACCTGAGAGACGTAGCCAGGAGGAACGTGGATTGGTGGAATGGAGCCGTTTGGTGACATCATGGGAACCTCAGCAGGCCCTAAGGCAGAAAAAAAAGAGAAGAATGGCGTCAATCAAAGAGAAACACAAAGCTGACTCCACCCCCTCATTCCATCACGTAATGCAGGGCTGAGCAAAGAAAATTCCAGGGACTACAAGAAAACGGTAGAGAAACAGGAATGCGTTAGTTATATGGCATGTACAATAGATAATCATTGTAGCATCACAATAGGTGAACTGCATTACCACCCAAAGCATATTTAAAGCTTGGTATATAGTATGTCTAACTTATACAATCCACTAACACTCATTACCTAATCAGCCAATCAAATGTTGCAGACGTGGTCAAGACAATCTGGTAAAGATTAAACTGAGCACCTGGATGGGGAGAAGGCAAATTGGGAATCTTTGATTATGAGATGGCTAACTCGAATTTCAGAAAATGCTGATCTACTGAGAGTTTACAGTGGATTGTTCATAAAAAAAATTAAATATTTGATATACGAGGGGCTGTACTTTTGGTCCCATTTTGTACTTATGCCAGAAGTCAGATGAAAAGGCAAGACTGGTTTAAGCTTAAAAAAAATCAACAGTAAAGAATAAAAAAAACACTGGCAAAACAATTTTACTACAGAAAAGCATCTCTGAAGGTATAACATGTTGAAACATGAAGCAGATGAGCTACAGCAGCAGAAGAGAACTCTTGTCATCTAAAACTGCTAACTAAGGTTACAAAAGTGCTGGTAAACAAGATAATGCACCCAGTCTATGTCACAAAACTCAAATAGTATCAAACTGTTATCTTGACCATTTAATAGGGCTGGGAGATCATTCATAATAAAACTGCAAACGTGATTGAGACAAGCACATCTTGTCAGGGAAAAACAGTGTGGTCAGCAGTAAATCAACTCTAAAGGCCAGAGAGTGCTCTAGCAAGTACAGGCCAAATAACTGAAGACACATGGAAAAAACACAGGAAATACCCATAGCGGTTGCTGAATAAACAGAAGATTTAACTAATTTCATTGATGTAGCTCAACTAACAATCATATGACTACAGAATTATCTCACATAAGAATTTATTTCAAACACTCGACTGACGTCATAAAGGGGATTGTAAAACCATGTTATTTTGTGTGGTAAAGTTGAAAAAGCTAGACAAACAGTTGCCATTACCACCGAATTTGAATTTAAAACCAATTTGGCTTAGCTCATCAGTGAACTACGACACTGCACTCAACTTGCCTTTGATTAATCTCCCAGTCCTACCATGGCAATGGGTTACTTTTGTACTCAAATGGCATCTAGACATTTGCACTCCCAAATATTCTTGTCTACTACTGGGTCTCTATGTTGTATCTAGTGTGTAACAGCCCAGATATCAATTGATACATGATGGAGGCCATTTCCTGCGTCTCATCTTCATTACCAGAACTAGTCTTTGACCCCTGTTTACGACAACCCTCTAAATATACCACTTCCAAATCCGATCCAATTTTCACTTAAAATGTGGAAACCGTTTCATCATCAATTTAAATTAAATGGCATATAGATTGTGCAAAAGAGCAACTTTGGGATGTGCTGCAGAAATGAGAGCTTCACATCTTGATTGTCCATCTGACAAATCTCCTGCATTGGTTCTCAGGAAAGTTTCTTGCACCTTGTTGAATTAATCCTACAACAAATTAAGGCAGTTATAAAGCCAAAAGTGGGTCCAACCTGTCTAGCACTAGAACGGCATACCCAATAAAGTGGCCAGTAATTATAAATAATATCTAAATAATCAAGATTTTTGCCACACCACTCCGCTAAACTCTGTTTGGTACTACATCACTGGGTTAAACAAACAGTTTAAGGTATTGTTTATGGCTTCACTGCAGTCAACACAGTCGAAATTGAGCCATCAAGTCCAAGTGGTGCAATGGTCCTGCAGAAAAGCACCTCTGAATGTATAACATGTTGAAACCTAAAGCAGATGAGCTACAGCAGCAGAAGAGCACACTGCTGCAGCTCCTGTCAGCTAAAACAGCTAAGGTTGCTGCAAAGCAAGATAATTCACCATGTCTATGTCACAAAGCTGAAATAATATCAAACAGGTATCTTGACTATGGCATGGACGATTATTCAAAATCTAAAATTACAATCGTAATGGCCAATAACTCTAAAACAATATAGAATCAGATTTTTGCCCCACCACCCGCTGAACTCTGTTTGCTACTACATCACTGGGTTAAACAAACAGTTTAAGGCATTGTGCTTTTATGGCTTTACTGCAGTCAACACAGTCAAAATTGAGCCATCAGGTCCAAATGGAGCAATGATTCTGCAGAAAAGCATCTCTGAAAGTATAATGTGTTAAAATGTGAAGCAGATGAGTTACAGCAGCAGAAGAGCACACTGCTGCAACTCCTGTCAGCTAAAAACAGCCAACTAAGGTAAGTGTTAAAAAAGATAATACACCATGTCCATGTCACAAAGCTTAAATAATATCAAACAGGTATCTTGACCATGGCATAGGGCTGGACAATTATTCAAATTGTAATCGCAATCGTAATGGCCAGTAATTCTAAAACTATATGCAATCTGATTTTTACCCCACCACCACGCTAAACTCTGTTGGGTACTACATCACTGAGTTAAACAAACAGTTAAAGGTATTGTTTATGGCTTCACCGCCGTCAGTACAGTCAAAATTGAGCCATCAGGTCCAACTAGAGCAATGATTCTGCTGAAAAGCACCTCTGAAAGTATGATATGTTAAAAACGTAAAGCAGATGAGCTACAGCAGCAGAAGCACACTGCTGTAACCCCTGTCTGCTAAAACCTGCCAACTAAGGTTTTAAAAAGTGATGGTTGCTGCCAAACAAAACAATGCACCTTGTCCATGTCAATAATATCAAACGGGTATCTTGACCATGGCATAAGGGTGGACGGTTATTCAAAATGTAATTCAGATTTTTTCCCCACCGTCCCTCTGAACTCTGTTTGGTACTACATCACTGGGTTAAACAAACAGTTTAAGGCATTGTTTATGGCTTCACCGCAGTCAACACAGTCAAAATTGAGCCATCAAGTCCAACTGGTGCACTACAGGAAGAATGGGCCACCGCCAGCACACAAACCCTCTTCTGTTATGACTCTCAGGGGAGACGCCGATGAATGAAACCCCTCCACCCACCGCACCGACTGTTTGTTGTCGAAATATAAAGCCCACAGACGCTGCCCGAACTGTGGACCCTCATCCGGGGCCCATGCTGCCGAGGGCCTCCAGCTGTTTTAGACATCGCCGTCTCTCATCCAGACCCGCAGGAACCTCCGGCGAGGTAAATCACCCTGATGATTTTTACAGTTTCTTCCCCCATCAGTCAATAGCGGGGGTCAGTATCTCTCCGGCTAGCAGGCTGGAATAAGACCCTGTTTGTGCTTGTATTGAAGGGGCTTCACATGAGTTTCTTGAGCAGACGGGACGAGGGAGGGGTGTGTGTACATAGTGATGTGTGTGGGTCGTTTCACCAGGTTGCGAGTGTATACGCACGGTGGCTTAAAATAACCTTTTCGCGAGGCGACGTGTACAGAGCACAACAAAATCTATTCAGATTGTACCACGTGTGTGTGTTTGGAAAGGGTCTCGCACAGGTAGGTGGCTGCAAACCCCCTCTATTTTTTCCTCCTGTGAAAGTGGAGGAGCTGGGATTGAGGTTTAGGTGGGGGATTCTGACATGACTGAGTGATAGGATTGTATCACGGGCTCTTAATATGAAGGGCCCTTTTATCCTTGACCCACAGAGAGAGAGAAAAAGAGAGAGAGAGGGAGAGAGAGCATGAGAAAAAAAAGAAAGCGAACAACACAAGCATTCCTCTACTTCAAATGAAGAGGTTGAAGAGATGGATGGTGTGAAGGCTGAAAGGAAAGAAAAACAGCTTTTTAAAAAAAGACAGATTGAGAAAACTAGATTTTTACTACTGATGTCAGAAATATTGCTTTAAATATCCCTTGTATAACTCCATATTAAGCTTGTTTGGCCCTCGGTTCTTTGTTATTATTTAAGTATTGATTTCAATCAATGTCTTTTGATATAAAATACACCAATATTCCACTAAAATCAGTTTACTACTATTTTATAGTTATTTATTAAATGGTCTGTTGAAATTCTTGATTTTGATTGGCTAAAATCGGTTAATGCACAGATAGTTCCAGTCCATTTTGATCACAGTAATCACTTAATTGACAGATAGACAAAGGTGTAAAAAAATCTTTGTAGCTTGCTCCTGGATTTTTAAGCATATTTATCATCAGCCAGTTAATAAAAAGTAATGATAAAAACAAATAAAATAAAATGAAATTATAAACATTCATTCATTTTCTTTACAGCTTAGTCCCTTTATTCGTCTGAGGTCGCCACAGTGGAATGAACTGTCAACTTATCCAGCATATGTTCACTGGCAAACATCCATATACACACTCATTCACACTCATACAATACGGATAATTTAGCCTACCCAATTCACCTATACCACGTCTTTGGACTTGTGGGGAAAACCGGAGCACCCAGAGGAAACATGCAAACTCCCCACAGAAACCAACTACCCACTGCGCCAATTCAATTCAATTCAATTCAGCTTTATTTGTATAGCGCTTTTACAATGTAGATTGTGTCAAAGCAGCTTCACATAAATGGTCATAGTAACTGGAACAGTGTAGTTCAGTTTTTAGTGTTTAAGTTCAGTTCAGTTCAGTTTAGCTCAGTTCAGTGTGATTTAAATCATTACTGAGCGTTCAAACACTGCGCCACCATGCAGCATAATTTTAAAAGAATTAAAATAAAATAATGATAAAAACAAAATCAAATGATAAAAACAAATAAAATAAAATTATAAAAATAAAAGAACGATAAAAACAAACAAAAAAAAAAAAATAAAATAAAATAAAATAATGACAAAAAACAAAAATATTCTAAAAAAGGTAAAAACAAATCAAATAAAATGAATGATAAAAACAAATAAAATAAAAATGATAAAAACTATTAAAATTAAATAATG